TCTATTGTACATTACACGAAATTAGGTGAATACGTACAATAACAAAATTTGTTTAATTAACACATTTGATATATTTTATTTGAATACTTTTATTGCAAAATTATTCAAATATTTGGATAGCTTATTTTTTATACTAAAAGATTATTAATAAATTCGAGAAACTTTCGTAATCGCGCAAATACTGTAAAAAAATTTTTTTACATAATATAAAGGTTATTAAATAAAAGTGAATCAAGAAAAACACGATGTTAATCCAATAATTAGATATTAGCTTTTTACGTAAAATTTGTCGTTTTTTTAATATTATAGAAAACACAAGTATATTCGAAAATAAAATATTACGAAATATTAAACATTATCAATCATGCGGAAATTAAAATCTGTAAAACAAAATAATTTTCTTTGATTATCGTTTTTAATTTAATGTATTTCGAGAATTTCGCATCGCGTTAAATATTTATAGATTACGATTTATTGATTTACGATTTTATAATAAATTATATTGCAAACAATTGCGTTCTTTTCACGTTTTTGGATGTGATCGCTGTCTCGACGAAGAAGCCTTATCGCTGTCCCTCATGTCAGGTGGACGCTAGCAAATGCGCGGTTTATACTGGCGGAGAATCGAAACGATTTTCATTGCTGAAAGTTATTTCTCGCCGGTTTTTGTGAGATCTATCCGCAACGCTTAGTTCGGTGCCTCATTGAAAATTGAAAGTTTCATTACAGAGTAGGAATTAAACCCAGGTTTTCGTGGCGGTTCCTGGAAACAATGTTTTGGCAGTGATTTAACGACAATCACCGTACATTGTTTGAAATCGAATTACAAAATTCATTATACTTTGAGAGAAGATATATTTTCTCTTTTTGTTAAAAATGTTCTTCCATTAATATCCTCCTATTAATATCACTATTATTTTAATAATGAAAATAATAATTCAAAAATGGATATAATAGATAAAATTCACTTTTTCAAATATAAATTTAATTTAATAAGTTTTTGCGCAAACTTTTTTGTGCAAAATTTTTATTATTTGAAAAATTATGGTTACAAACAAGTATATTTTATTAATTAATTTTGAATTAATTTTATTTTTGGTCTCTTTTAAGAAACCACTTGCAGGAATTACTGGATGCTCCTTACTATCTTATGTATATTATAATTAGTTTATTTTAGATAAGAGTGTACATATAATAAAATACATGTGCGTAAATTGTGACATATTTGAAAAACTATTTTTTAATATTATTCTTAATAATATATTAGGAATGCATGATATAATATAAAATGTGTGATTAATTAAAAAATTCGAGACAAATCGAATGGGTACTCTGATGTCAGTAAGATATCTGCAAATTATTGTTACGTGCTAAGTCTTAACTGTTAAATGCAACAGAAAAATTAATTTCTTGATAATCTTTCATTTGATGTTGCTAAATATTCAAGTTGAATTTTTTTTTAATCTTGCTGTCATCAGATTTGATTTGTCTCGAATTTTGAGCAAATTTGGTACCCTAAAATTATTATTATTCACACATTTAATCAAGCAACGATAAAAGCGCATGTATTTCATTTTACCTTTAAATATATTTGATTGTAACATGTATATAAAAACTATTATATCCAGTCATTTTTTAGTAAAAAGAAAAGATTTCTTAAAATGGAAGAAGATGTTTTTTTATGTGAATTTGAATATTATATATTGAAAATGATAAGAAGGGTAACAGTCGTTAATCCGCTGCCGAAATCGCTGTTATCGGGAGCAGTCAGGAAGATCAGGATTTCGTTCTTTCTTGTAGAGAAGCTTCTGATGTTTAATGAATCACTTAACTATTCATTGTGGATCGATTTCGCGAGATCCGAAATAGAAGAAATAAGACAAATTGAAGTCGCTTCCCACTGTTAGGATCGTTCTTCTCTCTGTCAGATATTAACCAGCGTGTCACTTGGCAGAGGGATTTTGATCTGGTCTAATCGTTGGGCCAGTTATTCTTCATTGAGCGTGGCGATAACGCGATTTTAAGGAACATTAAAGTTTAGCCTGTTTGCAATTGTCCGCGGAACAAGATATATTTTTTATTTTTAATCACAAAATTTACATGAAATTGTATATGAAATTGTATTTGAAAAGAAATCGAGTATTACATTCTGAATACGCGTTTGGTTTTTTACGTCATATATTATAATTGCAGATTCCTCGTATATTATAATTGCAGATCATATAAAATGCGCCTGTAATGTCGCAATCTATTTATTATCATATAAAACGATAATAATTATATTGCGTGTGCGCACGTTGTATTCCGATTATAGAAATTATATGTATTGTGATTAAATATTATTATCAATTTATTCATCATATACATTCGTGAAATGTAAATCGCGATTTTTTCTTTAATTTAATCAAAGCTCAATTTATCTTTTCGCGATAATATTGTAGAAAAGAAAACCTTTTACAAAATGCATTAAAATTCCGGGTACTCTTTCTTAATTGAAAGACATAATCGATAAATTTATTAATGATTCTTTTGGTTGCGATAGATTATCAGCGCTACATCAATCTAAAAATTTCTAATAAATTTTACATTGTACGCATTTCTGATATTTTCGTGTAATATAATAAAATACTCAATGTATGTAAAATTGTATATATTAACTATTTTATGTATAATGTATTATGAATTATGTATATTTTATTTTATTGTTATTGTTATACATTATACACTTTCAATTTAATTGTATTATTATATATTAAATTAATTTTGTAATTTATATTTTATAACTCTTTATATTATATTTCGAGTTAACATATAGTCAAAATAAAATATTATGTATCAAGTTATACAATTATGGAAATTATAATAAAACTATGTGGAAAAGTTATTTATAACACTCACAAAGAGAGAGAGAGAGAGAGAGAGAGAGAGAGAGAGAGAGAGAGAGAGAGAGAGAGAGAGAGAGAGAAATGGAAAATATATCTCCATTTTCCGAAAAATGGTTTTATTCTCCGAAATTTCCTTTTTCTTTCTTTCTATATACATAATATTATTGTTAAGTCCAAGCGTATATGTTGATGCTTTCAATATCATTATCCATATATTATTGATAATATTTGAATACATTTGAATACACATATATTTATTTGATGTTGATAGCACCACCAATTTATAAATTGTATTATAATTATAATAAATATTTTGTAATATATTTTTATATGACTGCGAGCTATGTAATTATACACTATAATATTTTATAATTATATAATATATATTTTATAAATTCTTTGTATTATATTTTCTATTTGGAAAGTTTGAAAAATCTACACTATTAAAAGAAAATAAAATAAAATTTTACCTCCTCGATTGTATCTCCACCTTAACGAAGGCATTTGCCGGGTGAGGAGGTTTGAGTACTCTAATGAACCTAAGAGCTATGCCGGCGGTAACGTAGGCCAGTATTCATATATAATCTGTTCTTATGTTTAAAATTATCTTAGATTGTATCTTAAAATTTTATTTAGTCAATGAAGTGGTCACAGTATTTTCTTTGACTGAAGACGGCCTTAAATATAAAAACAGACTATGAATATTAGCTGTAGTTATCAGTAGGGTCACCCATGCCGGACAGGTCGAAGGGGAAGAGTCTGACTAAGAGAGATACACAAAAATTACATAAATTATATGTATTATAATAATATACAATAATAATATATAATATATAAATTATATATCATTAATCATATATATAAATTATGTATGTTATATTAATATTTTTGAATAAATTGGAAGCAAAAAGAAATAGTAATCGGAAGAATAGAGAAAAGTCGCTTCAGTGAATTGAATATTTTTTAAGAATGCCTGAAGATAAATAACTATGGAAGATATTCCAACAAACATCAAGAAGGAGGAAATGCATGTGCCTATTATCTTAGGAATGCGACAGTATAACAATCGAAAGATTCGAAGAAGAGGATAGCGTTAAGTAAAAATTATATAGTAATAATTAAGAACGAAAAAATAGCTTGCAATTATATAAAATCTGCTAATATTAATTATATTTTATAATTGTTATATTTTACAATTTAGTATTAGGGTATAGGTATTAAGTATTCAAATATTTTGCTGTTATGGAAACTGCAATAAAATAATATAAAACATGTTTGTGTGTTATATAGAGGGGAATATATAATTTCATTAATCTACAGAATACTAATTACGTTCAAAAAGATTAAATAAATTATAAAAGATTGAATTATTATTTTGTGAACATTTAAAATCGTTAATTATTACAGATAACGAAAAGTTCTTGAGGTTATTGAAAGAGAGAGCAAAAGTAAATAACGAGCAAGCCAGATGACATATATCCTCAAAAGAGTTTTGAAGTCTTTTACATGATACTTCTTTTACTTAATATTATAATTTTTTGCAAGCATTATCTTATCATAAAAAATAAACTGCATTGTATTCGTTTACAATTAATAGAATGTAAATATCCTATAAAGTAAAAACTGAAACTTTTATTTTATTAGTTTAAAATTTTATTTTTATTCAATTTTAATAGAATAATAAGAATTTTACAATTAAATGACATCAAACAGGACATAAATCGGATGTATTTTATTGTTAAATATGTAATAAAAAATTTTTATTATTAGATTAAATTATAAATTATTATTTACGTCGTGTTTAATGTCATTTTAAATTGCAAAAATCTCACTAATTCTTTAAAATTAAATAAAAATAACTTTTTTAAAATTAAATAAAAATAAAATTTCAAACCAATAAAATAAAAAATAAAGGTTTCAGTTTATATTTTATAGGATATTTACATTCTCGTGAGTTATTAATGGATAGAAGAAGCAAGAAAATCGATTGTAAGCGACTTCGAAATTTTTCGATGATAGGTCAAGTGCTTTGCGAAAATATTAAAAATTTGTACTATACATCGGAAAGAAAGGAGAGAGAGAGAGAAAGATCGCAAAACTTATTTATATTGGAAATTTATTTAATATACATAAGCGTATTGTGTTCTTCGTATTATTACAGTTTTTGTATTACCGATATTTTTTTTTGCACATAATTCGGAACAGAACCACATTTTGTGCATGTTATCTATTAAGAAATTTTTTATCTACGTAGTTCAATGTTCACGTTTTACGGACATAGAGGCGCTTTAACTTTAAATGGGTTCCACGTAGCATAAATCGAGGACATGTGACCGTTTCGCAGGTTCTCTCTGCTTCTATGTACTTTGAATATTATCTTTAATATTTAGCTATATGTAAAGTAAGCAACACTGAAGATTTTGAAGGTTCCTTAAATGAAGATTATTTAAAAATGAATAAAAGGTTATTATTTATGAGATATACTTACTACAAACCTCATTTTTTGCATTAATTTGGAATATTAAATATTATTTATTATATTATTTTAATTATCTTCTTTTTCAATTATATTTTCTAGAAAAAGCAATGTCCCACATTACGTTAACGTTAAACGTAAAAGAACATTATCCTCAAATAGACAATGTTCGAAGCCGAAATCATCAACAACAGTTCCAATTGATGAATATAATTCTACAGTAAATTTGTGTTCATCTAGATGTCAAATAAGAAAGACAGGCTGTACTACAGCAAAAATCTCAAAATATCATATACTAGAGAGTGGAAATACGGGACAAGAAATATGTTATAACATACTGAATACAGATATTGGGCTTAATGGATATTACAAAAACATTAATTACAAAAACACTTTTTACAAAAACAATTTTAATATTGTTATATCGATCTTGTCACCTATCTTGGAAAAATTCAGAATTCAGCACAACAGATTTAATTATCACGAGGAATTGAAATATATAATAGCAAGAGATAGCAAAAAGTATGCACATAAAAACAAATATAAGAATCAAATTCATCGACGTTCATTAAAATCTTTCTTTTATTCACTATTATATAAAACTGTTCCTCCACAATTATTTGGAACATCACAAAATTTTAAAGTTATAAAAAGAACAGTAGGTCGTCTTTTGAGAACTGTTCCAGAAAATAAATTAATAACAAAAGCTTTTAAAAGAACTATACGAAGAAAAAATGTTATTAGGGCATCGTTAGATATGCAACCATTGTTCAACAAGTTTGATGTATGTTTTAAGTACATTAAGTATAAGTAACGTTTAAATATATTTTACATTAAAACATAATAGTTTTGTTTTTTAAAATCTTATACTACTATTTCTTCTACAATTATTTCTTCTTCTAATGATTCAATAAAATCAAGATATCTAACGTTTTCTGTAACTTCTGACTTTCACAGATTTTCAAAATTGAGTGGTTGCATTTAATTGATAATAATACAGTACGATGGATAATTGTATTAAAACTATTATTTTGGTTCTTTGCACAATATATAATAAAAATTTTACATAAACATGTAGTATTGACATCAGTTAAAAATCAATGGGTTTACATTGCAAAAGATGATTGGTGCAAAATGCAAGAAGAATTTATAAAAGAAAAAGTAAGTTCATGTGGTCTTGTGCCTTGGACACGCATGCAAATAGATGAGAAGAAATTTAATATACCTATTGGGACATACAAATTTCTTCCAAGTTCCTCTGGTTTGAGAGCTTTATTAATAGCAAAGTATATATATAATTCTTATTTATGCTGTAAATAAATATGAATATTATTAGCAAAATTTTATATAATACATATAATTCCAGATATAATATTAAAGAGAGATATGATGAAGTTGATGTTAGTTTGAGATTTCTGCAGCAGTTATATGTCACATACTGTAATAAAAATGGAAAATTTCCAACTGTAAAAAGCTGCATAGAGGAGGTGAATAAATTTAAACGTTCAACCAAAAATCAATTATATTATGTACGTTGTGATATACAAGATGCATTTGGTTCAATAATACAAGGTATAATTTATTATTTATCACAGAATATTTCAGACAGAATACTCTTACCAATAAGCACTATTTATTTCTTTTGTAGAAAAATTATATAAGCTTATTATTACATACTGTAGACAGTTAGGAAAAAGATATATTGTATTAAGAACATATACCATGTCAAAAAATAGAAGAAAAATACAAACAGTGCAATTTTTACGTTATTATCTGAAGCCAATATTAGAAAAAAAAGCTGTTATGAATAGGGATAAGAAACCTGTCTTAGTTAAAATGACGAAGTTAACGAATATAATAAACAAATTAATATTTAAACAGAAGGTAGAATAAAGACATATTTAAAGTTAAAGTTTAATATTTGCTATCAATATTTATTAATATCTTTATTTATAGGTTGAAATAGATAGTCAAGTATATTTAATAAAGCATGGTGTACCACAAGGTATGCGGATATCACCAATATTTTCTGAAATATATTACCAAGACATGATCAATAAAATATTCTCTGCATATGAAAATAATGGACTTCTATGCAGATATGTTGATGATATTTTATATATCACAGAAAATGAACATTATGCAACAGAGTAAGTTCAATAATTTTATACAATAATTATACATATATATATATATATATATATATATATATATATATATATAGACATATACATATATATATATATATATATATATATTTATATGACATATACATATATATAGACATAGACATATACATATACATATATATATAGACATAAATATATTATTTTTATAGGTTTCTGAAAATTATTAGAAATGGCATACCCGAATATAACGTAAAATTTAATCCAAGTAAAATACAATCAAACATAGAATCGTCATGCAATCCTATAAAAATAAGATTTTTAGGATGGAATATAAAATTATAAAACCAGTTTTCCCCTTTTCTATGTGATATATTAAGACCATGATTATTAATGCACAACTTTCCCTTGGATAAAATATTTTTGTTTTGTATAATTTTTTTTTCCATATATAACAATGGATCATTTTTCTTATAACTATAATTATGTTTGTTAGATATTTTTACATACATACCAACTGCCACACTTAAAAAAAAGAATTACAGAGATATTTCTTAAGTATTAATTTAGTTTAAAATTTTTTTATTTTCTCATCTATTAACAAATACACAAGACTGCACAAGACTGCATTTATAATAAAAAATAAATATGGCGGCAAAGAGAGTTACGAGTTATTTTCAACAAAGTAAATTGATTATTGCATTGATCGCAACATCGTAAAATACGATACCGATGTACGTACGATCTTTAAAAAAAAATAATATTAAAATTGTGATATGCAAATATTGGCATAATTATTTTCAATTTTGGTAATACATTATTAGATTTTTTAATTATATAATTTAATTTTTCTATTTGTTCATAAATTAAGTGTTAATTGATTATGGATACTATTTTTTGATAAATATTTTTTATTTAAATGGATAATATGCAAATCTTACTGTAGAGAAAGTATCCATTGATATCACAAACATCTTCCCTGCCGTTAATACACAAGGTTCTCGCGTCTTCATTATCATAAAAGTCAAGATTTTCCTCGTTCGAAATGAGGTTTGGTACCATGCTATATTCATTCTGCAAAACGATAGATATTTTTCATAACTGAGAATATTTTCATATGTATGTATGCATGAAACATTCTTGAAAGTTAATTTTACAGAATTAAAATGTCATGTTTTTTTTTAATTTCTAAATTAACAAGAAATCCTATTTATTTTACTAAAAATTGAAAGTTGTCAAATTTGTTATAAGATTTATAATTATTGTTTCATTTTAATAAACAAATACATATATTGTCCTAAAAAGATTATACTTTCTTTCGAATATTTTACAGATACATGCGTCACATTATTACATTTTATATAGCATTTTTTAATAATATTTAATAATATGAAAATATTAGTACGCACAAATTAGTATGAATATATGCGCTGTGATCGATCAAACTTTGTGCTTGAAAACTCTCAAAAAATAGATGCACTAATAATGCGCATGCAAATGTTATCTGTCTTAAAAATTCTTCCGGCTTGTCCATGTTTGTCGCAGCCTAAATAATATTAATATATTAATTACAAAATAATTAATATTATAATTATCTTTTCTAGTTAATTTTATTAAGTTATTTTTTGAATTATATTTTAGCACATTTTTATTTTTGCAATAAATGAATATATATATATATATATATATATATATATATATATACATTTATATATATATATATTGGTAATTTATTATTTATAAGCGCAATATGATTATTGCATCATTATTACGAATTTAAATAAAATTGATATACCGTAACTCCTGTCATACTCATGATAAGCATATTAAAACCTGCTAGTGTAAGAAACATCTGACTGAATGTAGCTTCCAGGAGATTAGCATACCTTTATATATATATGCAAATTTTATGTAAAAAAATACATTTTAATTAAAATATTTTTTATAAAGGAATATATTTATATCTAATATATCTAATATACAGGTTGCTCGGAAAATCGCCCGCAGTACTTCGGGACTCAAAAAGAAGGAAAAAAGCTATATAAGCATATGTAATATCCGAGTTATAGTTACTATTCTATGTTAAAAAATTCGCAATTTATAGTTCGCTTAGCATCCTTTTTTTATATTTTTAATTTAAATTTAAATTTTAAATATAAATTTAAATTTCTAGCAAAAGATACATATGAAACAATATAAAATAATAATTGACTGGCATACTATATATTACAGCAAACCTTAATGCGCTTTTATGCGCATGAATGCTTTTTATGATGTTTTTATATGGTTTATCATCTTTTATAGGTGGTTCAAGATTTATTTCTAGACTATCTTTCTTTATTATATTTTCTAGTTGTTGCCTAAAGCAATTAATTAAAAGCAATTGATAATTGTTTTAAAATTATGATTCTATTTATATTTATTATAATATGTACATTATAAATATCTATATTAATTTAAAATAAAATGTTTTAAGAGAAATATAAGTTTGTGAGATTATTTACCCGATAATTTTAAATAATCCACAAACATGCTGTATCATGATCACATACATAGTGTCTGCTGCGATGGCTATGCTTACACAAAAAATAGCTGTAACATATCCATGAATCAAGATCGGAAAATAATATTTGTCCATATCAGTAATATTCGACCTGATGTAATAATGGTCGAGTTGTATCATTTGAAGGAGAATGCGGCACTAACATAAATAATACCAATGCAGAAAAAGAACCTAAATAGAGCAAATATTTTTGCTTATTTTTTATTCTTTTTCATTTATTGTGATATCAAAATAAAACCACTTTATCGATGTTTTAAAAGAGAGAGAGAGAGAGAGAGAGAAAGAAATGTTCTTGCTTTAAAAAGATAAAGTGAAAAAATTACCTCATATATATTTTATATATTTCAAAACGTAAAATAGAATAGATATTAAAAAGAGATATTAAATTAAATCAGGAATATTGAATTAGGATGAATATATATTTCAGTTTAAAATAAATTTCATAATACATTTCTAACATGTAAATTTAATATAGATTTAACTTAATTTACTTGAAAAAAACATAATAATTGTAATTATGAATTTTTTTAATGATTATATTATCATGATAACCTGTTGTTATGATGTATTGATTTAATTTTAATTTTTTGTAATCTATTCATCCATGTTAATTTAGTTAAAACAAAGTTGTATTAGAATAACGTGTGTGAGTTTTAAAAGATATCTCGGAGATATTTTACTTAAAATATCATGTAGGTTCAATACGTCTACAAAATAGCTTTAATGTTTAGAATATTAATTTATAAAGGAAACATTGCTACTTCTTTTTCTTAAAATTTTATGTTGTTTACGGTACTTTTATATCTACCAAAATATTAATATATTAAACGTAATATTAAAGAGTTCTTTATCAAATATATACATTTTTATTTCATTTATTAAAGAATTTCGAGATGTATATATAATTATATAATTTTTTTATTTTGCACGATGAAATATTGATTGGATTTTATAACATTAAATTTTTATATAAAGTAAAGTTAGTTGTTGTGTGTGTGTGTGTGAAATCGATTGCCTCCAATTTTCAAAGCGCCTCTATGTCCAAAATAAAATACGATATTGAATTACATAGCCAAACAATGAAACTTCTTAATGGGTAACATGTTATGTTCCCACATGTTGGTAATACAGGTGCTGTAACGCAAGCGCTCGCAGACAGCACAAAAAGGCCAAAAGATATCTTAAAGATGTCTGAAGGACATCAAATGACGTTACTCTAGGAATTTGCTACAAGCAAATCGATACAATTTTCAAAAATACGAGCAATAATTTACAATGCTATACATTTCAAATTACTTTGCGCACATAATATGGAACAGAACCATAATTTGCCAATATGTTATCCATTAAGAAGTTTCATAGACATGCCTTTGTAGTTCAATGTCCATAGCATAGAGGCGCTTTGAAGACAAATTCCTCCATGACGTAATCCGCTTTCAGATTTTTCTACTGGTATAGATTACACGATAGAAGCACTCAACGTAAATGCAGGGCGAGAGGTAATTAACTTTTTTACCGAGAAAAAAATTTTATTTTCAATATTTATATTTTAAAAGATCTGTTTCTAAAAAATTGTCCACGCACATTTTGAGTTGCACTCTACATATTATGAGGAAACATATTCAGATATATATACGTGTACAATTTTTGCTTGCGATAAAAAGGCGCGAAGACAGATTCGTATATAAGTGACAAAAACTAAAGCGAAGGCAATTTCAAGGGTTCAAGACCGAGTACATAAAATGGAGGCAAAAAATATGTTCGAGCAATAGCATCTGTTTCCCGAAAGCAATGTCCTGAAGAAATTGTATCCTCATCATTCTCCTATTCTTGTGAATATACATACATCAGATTTCGGACGAAACAATATTTTCCCGAAGGGTTCGTAGAAGCAATTACTCATAGAATGTTCAGAATAGATGTAAAGAGAGAGAGAGAGAGAGAGAGAGAGAGATCCGTATATCAAGGTAATCCATTTACAAGCATAACGCAATATTTGTCACATAATAATTTTCTCAGTCTACTTTAAACACCATCATCATGAATCAAAAAGAGAAAAATTATTTTATCGTAATTATATCAGAAATCGACAACTTAACCTTACATACACATTGTCACAAATTCAAATACATGTCATAATAAATCTATCATAAATAAACATCAGATAATTCGCGAATGAAATTGACAGACAGAAAGAGAGAGAAAAGTAATATGTTTACTGTGGAAATTGATATTTTCAGATCTCGGAGAGCTCGGAAAATTTCATTTAACCGCCGTTTCATTAAGCAAAGTTGAATCGCAGCCGCAAAAGTTTCGCGACGATCAATCGGCACGCATTCGTTTCTCGCAAATATTCTCGACATCAGGATAACATGTGAGGGGAGATTTTTTTTCACCCCCGACTCCCACCCCCGCGGCGTATGCGCTTTCGAACGGCAAGCATCCCCCGTAACAGGACCGCATGCAAGCTCGAATTTTCGCCGCATTTGCTACGACGAGCATCAAACGTGAGCGTCGATTCTCCCGACGCGCTCGTCAACGTCCTGTCACTCGTCAAGAGAGTGGCGCCAGAAGCATTCGCGCCACCAGGAAGCTATAACTCCGGAACGCTCCCGCTCTTTCTCTCTCTCTCTCTCTCTCTCTCTCTCTCTCTCTCTCTCTCTCTCTCTCTCTCTCTCTCTCTCTGCCGCGCACGGGCTTCCGGGAACCGCGATACGATTCTCTGGAGTAGGAGGGTGTTCCAGGAGCGACAGGATAGCAGGACATCGTGGTGCGCTTTGCGCGCGCCTGGAAATTATCTACATAAATCATATTATGCGTCGCGAAAAGCGACGATTTTGTAGACTTACAAGAATAAGCGAAAAATGTTTAAGACGCTCTTGGAGACGACCCTTTTTCTCTCTTTCGATCTCACTCTCGATGGGGACGTCTTTGAAGACGCGGTAGATATTATTATATGCAAAAATTATACGAGATGCTTCGGAAAAGTGAGCCAAGACGAGAGATAAGACGAATAGACGGCGTTTTGTTGTATTGTACTTTTTCCATCGACCGCAATTCGTCTTCCATGCGTCTTAATTTCAGGCGCCGATCACAGGCGATCATAAAACGGCCCGCAGCCAAGCCCGAAAAAATATCCAAATATTCGAGCATATTTCCAATAACGCTACAACACACTACGCGACTGTATCGGTGACGCGGGCACCAACACACATTCGATTGCACAACTGTATTGTTTACTCCACCTTGATAACGATTCGCGCAATTACGTGCGCGCAATTACGTGTGCCCTCTCCTCGACAATCTACAATTTAATATTAATATTTAACGTTAATATATATTGATGCATTATAATATCTTAGAATGCATCGTTAAAACTGCAGAACTTTTATTTATTATTTCAATAGTATATAGAAAATAGAATCTACAATAGAAATAAAGAAGAAATATGTTTGATATAGAGAAAAGTTCGCGTTATTATGATAAGAAGAGATTTGTACTTTGTCTTTTTTACACTTAATATAACGTAAGCCACATTTTGAAACGAACAGATTTGAACTACAAATTACTAGGGAATCAACTACTCGCAAACATTCGCTTTAATATTTAAATAACGATGAGAGAGGTGTTTGATTGCGATGAATACTAATTGCAACACAGTAACAGGATTTATCCCAATTTGTGCTTCAAAGCACGGTCTTGTTTTTCCACTAGGATTTCATACATGCGACGGAGTTTCTCCTAGACGTTTCTTGTTGTTCCATTCCTGGACCCGGACAGGACGAGGGCAATGACCGCAGACCGATACTTCGAATGTCCTGATAGCTCGCCTCGTGCGCAGGTATGATGAGTAATAGATAGGTGATGGAATACCAATGTTTTTACAATATTGATCAATAATTCCTTTCCGATTCAGGATCGTCGACGAGGCATCTTTCCGCCGATTATTCCGTTGGAACGTCGGAAATTACTGCAACGGCCGAAAGATAACGGTGATTCCGAGATAGGAACGGCGTCACGACAGGATAACAGAAGGAAAACATTACTGTGCCGGCGAGAAGCGACGCATGCGCAGGAACATATGATACTTCCTTTATATTATACGGATATACATTAAAATCCGTAAGGAAGGAATAAGGAACGTCTTTTCAATCAGGTATGAACAGGTGCATACCAAGATAAATAAATTGCCAACATATTTTCAACGTTTATTATAATATAAAAAATTAGAATATATATGATATTATATTGATATATACGTAATTACATCAAGATATCCGAAAAAATTTACATACAATTAAGCGAATATCTAATTCTGTAGCTCCGAAAAACTTACATTCTTTTCAAATAAGTTATCAAGAAATGCGAGTGATATTTATATGGCACTTAAATTACGCATGTAAACTGAATTCGAAAGAATTTATATTCTCAGTAAAACCCACATGCATATAATCAATAACCGCGTTAGCGCTGGCGCGATTAAGAGACTCTGTTTGCGGTAACGATGTTTTGAAACCAGCGTCGGTGTCGCATTCTTGCCTCTTAAACCGCAGCAGCCTCTGGGCGTTTAAGTCCTCAAACCGTTCTAATTGAGCTTCTTCCTTGTTACCGCGAAAGAGTTACCGAAAACAATGTCTGAACAAAGAGAGAACAAAGAGAGAACAATTGAACGCTAACAAAGGCGCGTCCTCGCTTTGCGTCAGCGCGCGATCTAACTTTTTCCGGCTCGCTATTGTTCCATTAGCACTACAACAGTGGCTGTGTCACGATAACGAATAACGAAGTATTCAAAGAGATTTCGAGATATCGACACAACTACTGGATGGAAACGATGCGCGACTAACAGAAAATGCTGGAGCTGGCAAATGAAAGAGAAATATATATATATATATATATATATATATATATATATATATATAATACCATAAGTTATCTCTCTCTGTTTTAATCTATTTAAAAAAGATATCTCAAGCCAAATAAAATTTAATTAATTTTTCTGCAAATGAAGGATATCAAATTTTCATTTTTTAATATCATTGCAAGTAAAAGAGGAGATATGATTCAATTAATTTCTACATCAAATTGAAGACTTAAATAAGATACATGAGACAATTTAATTACGTTATTATTTCTTGTATTCTCTTCTTTTCTATTAATCGAAGAAATTATCCGAATCTATTAGCATACTTATTGCTATCGATATGATTATTCCATGTTTTTACAAACATATTTTATGGGATTAATTTAATGAATCTCTTGTTAAAATTACAGATCAATTAAGCTTGTCTGCGAATTAATTAACCGAGAATTTGCTCGCGAAGAGTGTCCTGCCTAATTTCTCGCGCATAGAATCTCGAATCTAGAATACGAAAGGAAAGAAATTCTCGCCGCGTAAAGCGAGGTATTCCTTCTCATTGGAGGAAAAAGCAGCAGCCTTCATTTCATTTTAGTCGAGCACCCTTGCGAATACAGCAAAACATTCCAATTAATTATTCTATAATTAAGATATGAGAAAGTAGTCATTATCTGCGTATTTCCGCGTCGGTTATCCGGAAACTTTCTTCTCTTCGTCACCCTCTTTCACATTTTCATCGACCTATTCAAAAGAATCATCTCTTCCGACGAACTTTCCAAGATTTCTTTTTACACATTGATATATACAAATACGCATATGAATACATGTAAAATATATAAAGAAATTATGCGTTTTTGTTAAATTATTATATAGATAGTTCAATCTTTTTTATAAAGGCTTCGCACTTTTTTTAAATATCATTCATTGCTTCTTAAATTTTTTATGAATTTTATTTTATGATAAAGCTCGCGAATTGAAGTCTTATGGAAAAAGATCCGAAAGATGTGAAATTAATTGAATAGCACATTTATGATTTTTTCAATCGCGCAATTTCCAATATTAGATATTTAAAGTTATTTAAATTTTTCCGCATCTATTTATTTTTCCATGCTATTGTATTTTTGCGTCCGACCTCGCGAATATTCACGCCAGCCCTGGTCGCGGGCATTAATTATCCACGTGTCAGAGAATCTCAGAGTGCTTACCAGTCAGTAAGCAGTGCAGACATTGCGGCGTGTTACACAGAAGTAAATATCTTCAGTTATGCACGCTTGACCCGGCTCGTTTGCAAGTTTTAGTTGCGATTTTATCTCAGTTAAGGAGCTTACAAAGACATTCAAAATGCTGAAAATTAAAAATCCGCAAAAATGATGATATTTACCAAGCTGTCGCGATAAAAAGCTCATTATTAAAATTTAATTCAATAAAGCTGATACATATCTTGTAATAATATAATTTTCATATAATGTTAAATAAATGCAAAATGTAATTGATGCAAAATAGATAGTTTTAAAATTTGATTATTAAATGTAGAATATAGAGTTTCTGATAATATAATCTATTATTTTACAGAGAAAGTAGCTCTGCCGTTTTTCACATAGGCATATATAAAATCGAGATATATAAAAGGACAACGATGCGATCCATTGGATAAGTTGCGAACTAGCCAACGATAACTTTTCAATCTCGGTCGAATAATCCAGCGGAAAGCATCCCCGTGGGATTTACTCTACGACGACACGATCCGGCCTCTTATTGGCTCGCGGGCTTTCGCGCAAACCGTTTCTCTCTATCTCCGTTTCCTCTTCACCTCCCTCTCTATCGCAGCACAGGCGCACCCACCGACTCTCCAGCCCTCGCCGCCTCCGTCGTCATCCCCGCGCGCACTTAGCCCCGTGGTTAACTTCAATGAGCGGATAACAAGCCGCCCCTCGACCGCGCTCCTGTAATATTCGCTCGTATAAATGGACCCGCGGCTTTGTCAAATCAACTGTCGCTAGTAAACAAGTCACCCTCCTAACTTCGGCGCGCTGATACACCACCGACTCTACGGGATACATCCTCCTCGCGCGCCACTGCCCCGGGCTTTCAGCCGCAATATTTCTCTCCTCGATAGCGTGTTAAGCTTAATCCTTAAGATTGATCGCTGAAGCATTGATGGTATCAGGGAAAAGTGAAAGATCATGATAAAATCGTTTTTGAAATATAGCAACCGAGTTGCTATGATAACTGATTTTAAAAATTTTAATTGATATGTGCTATTCACATTGACAAAATATTTCTAGGTTGATAAAACAATGTACTTCAAAACGTAAACATATACATTTGTAATTATTGTAACTTATGTTGTTTATATAATTGTGTTTTTTTTTTACGATTTTATTACTTAATAATAATATTTGATAAGTCAAGACATCGGTGTTTAATGCTGACTATACACGCGCGATTTCATGAAAACTTGTTAAAGAGGGAGAGAGAAGTAAGATATACATGTATCTCCGCAGAATTCTATGTGTCATCCGGTAGCCCGAGTATTACCGTAGCATAAACGAGCCAATCAAGCACCTTTGTGACGACAATCGTTCCTTTGATTACTCGGCACTTTGCACGAAAGCAGGAACGCGGTTACGTTGGGTAATCGGTACGTTTCAGCATCGCCCTGTTTTCTGACATTATGAAAGTGCATTATGGAAATGTAATGCACTGAATCTAACGATCCATGAGAACCATTTGATTTTCTTATTTCAGTCAGCATGCATTTTCAAAAGTATATAAATATATATCATTATACGATATAAAAGGATCTAGAATAATGTCGTGATAACTATCATTTGCATGAAAATTTATGTACTCTTTATATTAAATAATTGCAAAGAGATTATTATTAAAATTAAAATATATCTAATGCTGAGTTTTTTTTACAGGAAATTGTAATCAAATCCTATTTCTCAGATAATTTAAATTGTGCCAATCAAAATTCACAACATTTAGTCAATCTTCTCTTGGTGAGGATTGCGCGTTAATTGTATTCCAATGTTGGAATATAGAATCCTTTTCGAATGAAACTGCGGATGCGCTGTAAAATCGCATATTTGCTATAGAAACGCGTTCATCGAGCTCGAAAATGGCCACGGGACTAGAGTACGGTTCTACGAGGCTCTGAAGAGTCTGCAGTTATAGGAAGCGAACAAACAGGAGCGCCTTTCAATCGTAATTGGAACCGCAGGGGCCTGACCAACGTCCGTGTTCAAGCACTCCTTTTCCCATAACCATCATTCTTCGAGAGTGTCTCCGTCTCTATAAGAGAAACACAATAGCCTGTATATGCGATGACAGAATAACACATTGAGGTACGTGTAAAGTGATTTTTGCAAAAAACGTATTCTAAGCTAACGCATCATTGCTTGTCGAGGCATATTCGGTCATTTTGTAATCTTAAACTTATAAAGCTTAACATCTTGAGAATTTCATTATCTTTGTTAACGCATTAAACTCCAGTTTTGTAAGTTAACATAGAATATAATGAGAAAAAGATAATTCTATTTATTATAAGCTAACATTTACTTGTTTTTAAATTACCTCGTAAATTTTCATTAATGCTAATGATAAGTAATTAAAGAATATTATGTCGAAAAGAGCGTGAGCCTCGCTCTTTCACGCAACTTTTTGGTGTTGAAAGGAAGAAATATTTTTCAGTTAAAACCGCAAGGCTTTGTGTCGCTTCGTAAGAGCGGAACGAGCTGGACGATGCCGCTTCATACGGAAACTTCACTTCGGCAGTTATATTCACACGCGCGGTCGCACATCAATAGATCCTGCTTGCGCTTGCCGCGATTGTTAACGATTTCGAGGTTCTCCGCATTGCGGCTCGATGAAACCGCTCCTGTTTTAAATCGCTCCGGCATGATCCCCTTCGCAGTCTTTTATCTTTCATCTGTATTTAGCTATTCGCGTTAGGACGATCCCGCGACCGCGTCATTATTGCTAGACATCGCCAGAATTTTCGGCCCATTGAGTCCCGCGACTGATTTCATCCACGTTCCATAAAAACGAAATCGAAAGAGCTAAACGGAAAGTCAAATAGATCCTATAACCATATTTTATTTCGGTGTAATCATATATATTGATCGATGAAAATTTATTATAAATATCAAAATGCTATTTTAATATGTGTATTTTAATATCATTAAAATTTATTTGCTAGGTCGATTCTTGTCACGAAGCAATTCCTGACCGATGAAATCTCATTTGTACGACACAAAAGCATAGAAAAGCGAAACAGGCAGGAGAGAAGCGCCCTGAGATGAGATCTCGGATCACCCACGAGGGAGGAGCAAATGTCGCAAATTGCCGATAACGATCAGCCAGCGGGAGTGATGGTTTGTAGCTAATTCTACGCCAACCACCCTTCGCTCTTATTATCATTAATTTGTCTTCATCTAGGACACGATAAATGCGATAAACTGCGAAATATTTCTCTTGTGCACATGGTCATGTAAAGTCTTTTTGTAGAAAAGCTTCCTAAATTACTATAATTATGAGATTTTAAAATTACACGATTGTTTGGAATATAATTTCCAAGACGCAGCTATTTTTTTCGATTTAATCTAACTTAATACTTATATCAATATATACATATTATACGTAATTTTAGTGATAATTACAATTTTTAATTACTTTCTGTGGTATGTGTATGTGTGTGTGTGTGTACATATACATATTACGATTATTTAAAATGAGTGAAGTAGATATATACAAAAGGAATACTTATTTTTCTCAGTATATTTATTTTTCTAAATAAATATTTTAAAAAATATACTCTCTAAAAGTGAATCAGTGTATTATCACTGTAATCAGTGCTGTACTTATAACTGCTTGTAATCAGTGAATATTTACTGTTTTTCAGTGATAATACACTGATTCGCTCTAGTGAAAGTAGTATATATATATATATATATATATATATATATATATATATATATATATATATATATATATTACTAGCGTCAATCAGTGTATTATTACTGAAAAACAGTAAATATTCACTGATTACAAGCAGTTATAAGTACAGCACTGATTGATTACAGTGATAATACACTGATTCACTTTTAGAGAGTAGCTTTTGCGTCTTCGAATTTTTGCTTTTGGCGCTTAGTCTTTTTTTCTGTCTCCGTTCGGTGATTAACGTGATCACTTGGCGAAAACTTCAGTGGACCCTTGTTTCTCATGATCCTCGACGATTCTCAATTTAATTCGTATCCCGCCATGCATTTATTCCAGCAGTCCTCCTTTTTCCGCGCCTATAAAGGAGACGCTCTGGCCGCTTTGCTGCCCCTTGAATTAATCTACCGCATACATTAAACCTAATGAATTCCGAAACGCGCGCGTCAATCTCGGCTCATAGTGAAGGGTCTCTCGTTCGCGGCACACAACGATACACCGTCATACCATCATCGTTGTCGCCATTAAAATATCGTCAACGTTCACAGCATCAGTTTCTACATCGGTATGATGGAGCTTACGTTTAAAATCGATGGTTTTATGCAGCGCCACGCGGTTACATCGGTCGAAAATTCGGGTAGGACGAGCACCCACTCTGCCGTCGCCAACTTTGCTTGCATCAAGGTGAACTCGCGTGAACGATCAGAATTAATTGGAGCTTTAATTAATGCTATGCGCCAGGGCTTTTGCGAAATTTGAAAATGGTTGTATATGATAAAATCATCAAAATGAAATTCTTAGTTGATAGATAAATTGTATAGATATTTTCACTTTTTCGTTTTATGCAAAATTTAGAAAAATAGTAATTCTTATGAAGAAATTTTATTTAATTATCTTATAATTTTTAGATTATAAAACAAATATATTGCAATCAAAAAATTTAAATTTAAATGTTTAAATTTGAATTTAAATTTAAATTTTTAAATTCAAATTTAAATTTAAATTTAAAAATTCAAATTTAAATTTAAATTTAAAAATTTAAATTCAAATTTAAAAATTTAAATTCAAATTTAAAAATTCAAAATCAAATTTAAAAATTTAAATTCAAATTTAAAAATTTAAATTCAAATTCAAATTTGAATTTGAATTTTTAAATTTGAATTTGAATTTAAATTTTTAAATTTGAATTTGAATTTTTGAATTTGAATTTGAATTTTTGAATTTGAATTTGAATTTAAATTTTTAAATTTAAATTTGAATTTAAATTTTTAAATTCAAATTTAAAAATTCAAATTCAAATTTAAAAATTTAAATTCAAATTCAGATTAAAATTAAAAAATTTTAATTCAAATTCAAATTTAAAATTTAAATTTAAAAATTTATTACGTTAGTAACTTATTATACATATATATACGTACATATATATTACACACACACACACACATGTATGTATGTATGTATGTATGTATGTATAAGTTTATTTAATTATCTTATAATTTTTTATATACATTATAAAACAAACATATAGATATCGAATTAGATATTAACATATATGTGTGTATATATATTAATGTATTAATACTTAATTGTGATATACATATATGTTTGTCTCATAATGTACATAATTATAAGATAAATAAAATTTCTTTATAAAGATAACTATTTTTCAAGTTTTACATGAAACGAAGGATAGATAGTGATAATATAGATTAGAAAACATTGTAGTTTATTTATCGATCACACTAAATGCTTAGTTAGTTTATTCTATTGAAATTCTATTGAATATTTTTTTTATAAACTTCTTACATTTACCACAAACTATATGTATGTGTGCATGTGCGTGTACGTGTGTGCGTGTGTGTTTGTAAAAGTATAAATAAGCGTAACATTGTATTGCTAACTAGCAAATACATAAACATCATCTCAATTTAAATCTTAAAATGCATGGCTAGCCCAGCATGAATCAAAACATATAAGGATCACTAATATAAAAATCACTTTATAATAAATATAATAAATATAATGTGAAAAAGTAATTTTATTAAAATGGAGTCTTCCCAGATATTTTTTGCCACAATTTTTAAAATTTATTTTTATCCTTATTTATGACTTAATTTTTTGCATTTTTAAATTACATAAATATATACATAATAAATAATATAGAATAATGCGTATACACACACAACACATTCATGATTCAATTGAAATATAGACTAATTGTGAGACTTTTATAAAACATACATACACATATATATTAGATACATTTAACTGAAACGTGAACTACAGTCATTGTTCCATAACAGTATAAAATAAGATCAATCACCGATTAATTTTTTTATACAAACATTAGTACTAATAAATAACAATGTAACAAACGCATTATACATTTGGATACATAGTCTTTATCTTAGCCAGTACATTAATATATAACTTCTCAGATTAAGAGATAGCATTTTTGTACCGCATTAAATATGTATTTATTTGCAATGTGCAATTCACTTTTTTATCTTTTATTTTTGCACTAATACCGATGATGGAAACATCTGCATAAAAATGCAACCATAATTATTATTTGTATTATGTGCATTACTCTGCATTATTTATTGTGCATATATTTATATGTGCAATATATAAAATCATAGCTTAATATGATTTTGTAATAAAATCATAAATATACTAATTGTAAGTAAAATAAAATTGAATAAAAATAAATTTGAAAATTTTTGGCAAAAAATCTGAGAAAACTCGATTCTACCAGAATAACTTTTCCGCATTATATCTGTTATAAAGTAATTTTTTGAAAATTCATGCTTTAGGTATTTTGATGATTAAATCGAGATAATGTACTTGCTAGCTAACAGTACAATGTTACGCTTATTTATATCTATATATATATATATATATATATATATATATATATATATATATATGTATAGTGTGAAATAATAGGAACACTATGGAAAAAGTATTCAATAGAATAAATTAAGAAATAGAAATAGAAGTAACTGAACAATGGTCGACAGATAAACTACAATGTTTTTTATTCTACAGTGTCATTATCTGTCTTCCTTTGACAAAACTTAAAGAATAATAATTCTTATGAGAGAATTTTATTTACTTGCTAATTATCTATAATTTTTTATATTATAAGACAAACAAATCGCAATTAGACATTAATAATAAGTTTGTTTCTTTTTTTTCAAAGATACATATAAAAACATATATAAACAAACGTACATAAACGTATATAAACAAACGTATATATCGCAATTAGACATTAATAATAAAGTTTGCTTCTTTTTATTTTCTAGGCTCGTATAACATTTTGAATTCTCTAATATTATTGTTGATTTCAATAATTTGATTGTGTTTAGGTATTCTTTCAGGATAAGAGACTAATAAGAGATTCGCATATAACTTTTCTTACAAACTCTACGTACTCGACGACGCGCGTCTTGCTAAATTCAACTTTGGATGATTTCTCGCGATGCAGTGTTCAACGTACACACGCTTATGCGGCCGCATGTCGACAGGTGCTTAAAAAGAAGTAAGTAGTAGTGCGGTGAATAGACTAACAGTATGCATGACCGACGGGAGAGATGAGAAAAAAGGAGGAGACTGCTCTCGGATGTACGCAAACAACGCGAGGGAAGTGGGAGATAGAAAACACGGAAGTCTCTCTTAGAATGGTTGCATATACGCATTATACATATTTATACTCGCAAACTACTTCTAGCAAGCCGGGATTCATTATTGGGAGAGGGATTTATGAAGGATGTATTTATGCAAATGCTGATGCGCATTCGCGTTGCATCTTGCGTTATTCCGGGTTATTCGCGAATTGATCTCATAAGAAAGAAACAGCTTTGATTTCTGACGGGTGACAACATTCGTGAGACTCGTAAATTAAAATATCATGCAGTTTTAAAATAATAAAAGTAAAAAGAAAAAAGAAATATATATATATACACATTTTTTCTCTCAATCTTCTTATATCTTTATGATTTTAAAATTTATTACGTCATTACTAGTAACAAAATACCCGAAATTGCATATTAAAGTAGTAAATATTTTTTCAATTATTCATGTCTTTGTTGCAGATTACACGATTTCGTCACAATGTATACGCGCAGATATTAGGTAGTTTGGAGTGGTGTATTAAAATAAATACCATTCTCTCTCGGAGATTTATTATGCCTGGTTGTTACATCAGGCTCCTTTTGGAGTTCTATAACGAAGCCAACAAGCACGAACCGACGAGACGAGCGAGACTGATAACAGCGGTAACTCAGCAAGAGCGAGTATCCGTCTTTCAAGCACTGAAATCATAGAAACCAGCTATATTGTGCGCCCGCAAGAAAAGTTTCACATTCAATTTGTTCCTTCCGCGTTTCGCAGTAATCGCTCGCCAATGACTTCCCCCTTCTCCTCCTCTGCATCCGCCTCTTTCCCTTCTTCAATAACTTCCATCCTCACTTTCTAGTGCACCATCACCATCCCTCGCACCCTTATCCGGATCCACTTAAATCGAAACGGGCACCAAGATACCGACTCACAGGTATAGGAAGGGGACTGGCTCCATGGAGTCTTCCAACCAATGACGACCTCGTACTCTCGTCTCTTCGCCTCCGCATTCCAGTCTCCGCGAACCAATAAGAGAGACGCGCTAGTTCTCGCAGTGGGGCGAGCATGGCGCTTCCACCCCCAAAATGGCTGCGAAATCGCGCGGGCATTAGGCAGCCCGTTCAAAATAAACGGGCGGATTAATTTGAGGGGGGTCGCGGGAACAAGTGCAGAGGGTATACAAGCGCGTGCACCTCCCCCTCCGATCGTATGCTAACTTTCCGAGCTTTCCTATATGTGCGTTTTCATCTCCGCGTGTTTGTCTCGCATATTCTCGTCGGCGATAAGGACGGTGGTATCGAAGTTCGCGGACGCTTCCGGTCAATCGCGACGGACGTCGGCGACGCAGAACGACGCCAAGTGTTCGTACGGTAGCATGAAAATCGGGCCTCCCTCTCGCGATGCGAGCGTGTTGATGCATTTCCTGCAAACTTGTCGCGGTTAATTGTTATTGTTTCGTTTGTAATCTCGATTGAGGATTGTGAGCGTCGTGAGTGCGTTATTTCGCTGATGGCGATGATGCAGGAGCACAAGTCGTTCTTGATCAGAGATCTTCTGGGAGATGTATTGACCGAGCGTGTTCAAGGTAAAATGTCATACTATGTAGAGATAGTAATGATAATAATCATTAGTTATAACTTTAAAATCTACGTTTTTTATGTTAATATTTTTATAAAAAGATAATATATATTATATAGAAAGAAAGTTAGTTACATATAGGAAAGATACATAAGAGCGAATTAATCTAACATAAATAATTCGCTTCAGTTGTATGCTTTTTATTTTTATTTAATCTTAACTCAAATGTATTTATGAAAGAATAATTTTAAAAATAATTTATTTTTAAAAATACTTTATAATAATAAAAATAATTTATTTTTTTAAAAACTTTAAATGCGTAAAATTATCATAATATATGAATTTCTGTGTACATTCATAGAATTTAATCGATATCATGATTCACATATTATGATAATTTCATCCATTTAAAAAGTTTAAAAAATTATTTTTAAAATTCTATATTTAAAATTAGTTTTAAAATTATTCTCTCAAATACATTCCACTTAAAACTAAAAAATAAGAAGCATGTAATTGAAGCGAATTATTTATATTTCACAAACGCATTCATATTGCATTGAATAATACAAGTTTCGATCTTAAAAAATATATATTTAATATGAATCTCATAATTAAAAAATGAAGAAAACATGGAAATTATCATTAATGGTTGGTGAAGTGCAGATTTTATTTTAATTGATTTCAGAACTGTTTAATTAATTTCATGAAACGAGAATTATGCTTTTTCACGCAAACATTTCTAGACACGTGGCGGATCGTCAGAATTCTCGTTAGAAAGTGGACCCCGTGGTGTGTTCCCATTATTTAAATCGCCAACGCAGAGCCACCAGGGGTGACTAACCCCCTCGGAGGTGGTACCCCATTAAGAACGATTCTACAGATGGTTCGAGGTGCCGAAAGATTCGTTAGAGCTCGTTAGTACGTGGACTTTCATCGAAGATTATTACCCCCCGGCGTGTCATCGCGAATCTGTTGGCTAATCCTGGGGGGATGCAAGCAGGTCTTGCTAATTCAGATGGTTTGCTCTAACCGAAATCGATCACAATCGGTCGGGGTTCGCTGGATTATTGTTTCGATAATAGATTTTGCCCGACCGATCGGATTCGGTGATTGGATCAGTCAGAAAATAGCTATTAGTACAAAGTAGTCGAGATACGCGCGCTGTCTTATGTATATATATCCCACATATTTCTCTAGAAAAACGATAGGTATTAATAATATATATCATATACATACATATCAAAATTATATACATAAAAAAACTTTTGGGAATTTCAAATCATGCGTACATTATACGAGCATTAAAACATAACATTAAAACGCAACATAAGATAAAATAAACAGACTTTTAGAGAGAAGTCAAACTAATTAACTTAATTTTTTTATAAATTTCTTAATTTTAATATCAGAACATATGTGATTAGCGCTAATTAAACCTAATTAAAATTGAGAAATTTATAAAAAGTAAACAAATTTGTAAGATAAATTTGATAATTTAACATAAGTTTGGTTTTTGAGAAGCTCAGTAAATTTAAAGATTCTTAAAGCTAAGTTATTACTGAAGGTACTTAGAGGAATATTATTTTGAAGGAAAATATTGAGAATAAAAATTGCGCAAAAATTCGTTGCAGAAGATTCGGAGGACGATTCGGCCGTTCATTCGGATTCTGAGGATACCATTGATCCTGGCAGTAGTCCTTGCGCGCGTCTAGAAAGTCCTTCATCAGCGCATTCGCCGTCACCAGGTCCGGCGACTACATCTGCAAAGTCTTGCGGAGTAACCGCCAATAATGCACCACCAACTAATAGAAAACCACGAAGACGACGAACCGCTTTTACTCACGCTCAACTGGCTTACCTCGAGAGGAAATTTCGTTGTCAGAAATATCTCAGCGTGGCAGATCGTAGCGATGTCGCTGACGCCTTATCACTTTCAGAGACGCAAGTGAAGACCTGGTATCAAAATAGAAGGTACAGATAGAAGCTTAACCATAAAACATAATATAACTTTTCATCACGATTTTAAATATATATTTTATTATTAATATTATTTAATATTTACGCAAATAATATATGAGCTCTTTACGAGTTGTAATATGACATAAGAAATCTTTGCTAATTATTTTGTTATATATATTAATATATTATATATATCATAAGATATTATAGCGTACTAAAAATAATATTCTAAATTTAGCAAGTTAATAAAATTTATAAATTATATGAATATGTCTCATAAAATCATTTTTTCTTTCGTGAAAATGTTATCAAAATATTATAATTATTTGTCATAAATCATTATGTTTTACATTCGATATTTTAATAATCTTAAAGTTATAAATCTGTTAAGTTTAAGTTTATTTATAAAATTAAATAAAAAGAATGTCTCTTATATGTCTTTTGAGCAAATGCTCCACAAGTACTCAATTGCTTCAATAGCTTCAAACTTGTCAATCACTCGACGTTAAAAAGCAGAATCTCACGCGTATAATGCTATTTAGAAAAACTAGACAAATGTTCCATTGCAGAACGAAATGGAAGCGGCAAAATCAGCTACGATTAGAGCAGTTGCGCCATCAAGCCACTGTCGAGAAGGATCTTTTGGTACGCAGCGTCGGCCTGCATCACGGCAGCATAGATGCTTATTGCTCTCCATATAATACACAAACGCAAACTAGTCATCCGCCGCCGCCGCCGCCACCGCCGCCACCGGCACCGTCCACCGCTTCCACGGCGGCGTTTCTCTCGACGGCAGCCGCGCTCTTCCGAAATGTCACCTACGTCCATGGCTGCCCGCTCTAACACGCGTGATTTCAAGATCATTCCTGGGTCTAAAGAGATCCCTCCACCTCCGAACAAACATTTCGACAAACTACTTGTGTCGTGAGTGCTATATAAACTAACTTAAAGTGTTTAAAAATTTTTTTAATCGCCTTGGAATTTTCTTAACAAATTGATTTACATAATAACGAATAACAAAAAGTGCTGCCCACACGTACATATTACAGTTTCTTTTCTTTCGTTAAGTGATTATATTTTTTCTTATTACGCGTTTAGAACCTGTATATTGTTCTTGCATAAAAATTAGGATGAGAAATAAGGGGGTAACAAAAATTGAATGAATTGTATTCATTCTACATTGATCACATGTCTGCACATTTAAATTAGCGTATCTCGGTGTTTATAAACATTTCTGTGCTCGAAAAATTGTATCGTGATCATTTGTCTGACATTTCCTTTCGCGAGTATTAAATGAGGATTAAACAAAGATGTAAATATGTAATTATTAGGAGTTAATCGATAGTCGTAGCTGCTTATTCCTTTCCATAAAACGTTTAATATATTAACATTTTACAAAAGTTTACGTCTTCTATTCAATGAGTAACAGAATTTCTATATAATCGATATTATACACATATTAGAATGTTACAATATCGTTTTGATGTAATACTTCATTTAACACTGTAGATGCAGTATTAATATTGCATTTAGAAGATAGACGAGAAGAATAGTTATATTGTCGAAAAAGAGAAACGAAACATACTTTGTCCATATAAATTGAAATCAGAAATATATATGTTTAATTGATAATTATCAATTTACGCAGTTAAATAAGAGCTTTTAATTTGCGTAGCTACTTTATAGTATTCTAGTCAAGTGTAATCTCGACGTATACAGATGAAAGTAATATTATCGAATGTGTGCAATGTTGGGGCATGTATGTAAAATGTTATTATCTTCCGTAACTTAGTTGATTATTGTTGTTCACTGTCAATAATCTGTCAGTCACTTTTTGCGAAACAGGAAGAGAGTTATTGTAGATAAATAAATCATCGATCAAGACAGCCGATTGATATTTTTCATTTAACACGCTTAAACACGTTTACTTTCTGCTTCATATTATCATATAAAGTTTCAGACAATCTCAGGCGAATACAAAACGCTCAGATATATATTTTGTTATTATTTTTTCCATCTATTGTAAGTGGAAGGCAAAGTGTATACACGTGGCGGTAGACACGTGACCGAGTAACGAGTAATTGGTTGAAACCGATACATGTGTCGAGTGGTTCGATGGTGCTCGTATAGCCTGGAATTGGCGTACATGGTAGATCTAATTGCACGGAAAGACAAGAGAATGCACAGCAACTCTTGCGATTATCGGGACAACCTTGCTACGATAATTAGACCGAGAAAAAAAGAATCTACAACAAGTCATAATCGATATTTCTGTACGAATGATTTATTACGAGTGTGTATTATTAACTTTGTGTAATATAGCCGAGAAAAACGACAAGAAGGAAGTGCAATCGATAAAATGAAGTGTGTGTGTAAAGAAATGATTATTGTTTTCCAGTAACCTTTGCGCGAAAGACAACTATAAAAATTTTAAATATATAAATGAAAAGGAAGAATTATATCTTTAACAAAGATTGAGAACTATAAATAGTTGAAAAAAAAGATCATCCTTTTCTGTTGTAGAAATCAAGTGATTTTTTTTTTTCATTACTTTAACTTGCTTTTTTCCCTCTTAATTTTTCAAAAAAAAATTTAAAAAAATTAGGATAATACTTCCATATGAAAATATATTTAAAATGAAACTTAGAATCGACTCCCATGTTTGACGTATAAAAAGCGCAGATTCGCAATCCCGAATATGAAATTATCTGGACGAAAGAAAATATCTTGCGGCCCTCTTTCTCCCTTCACCATTCACGTTTAATGCACCATGTTTTTTTAGAGAATAAAAGAAGCAAGTATTTCCCTTACGCATAGTTACTTCGACATAATGAACCACCGACATTTATATAACACCAACGTTCCGTCAGATAGCAGGCAAATCTCGCGTTTGATAAATCGCATATTTATATAATTATATATATAATTAAAGATTACAAATATATTTATAAAAATATGAAAAATTTTCCTCAATCTTGCGCGTGCGTCAATTTATTATGTCTCTCTATAGTTTGATATACATATACACCGTCATCTTTATTTAAGAGCCGTGAAGGGAGGATTTTTCCAAGATACGTGAGACAAGTGGCGTCGCATGCGTTCAGCCACGTGCGTATTGTATGGTGACGAATAGCCGCGCATATACGCGTGTGCGTACGTGCGTAAGTCATGTTGGCACTTGGGCACGCGCTTCTTATTTCTCCTTGGCTCGCTTCGTGTCTCCATAGTGCGGCATCGTTAAATACTTCACGGGGGGGGGGGGGGGACTCTTTTTCTCATACGTGCAGGCGAAAAAAAAATTCTCCAGTCTTTTTCACACGATTTCTTTTATATCTCGTATCGAGCATCGGCGGCCGATATTTTTTTCAGAGTTTCTAGTTGAATTGATAAATTATGTGCCTCTTGTAATACTTCTTATTCTCGTCGCGAAATTCGTCGAAGAGACGACGAATAAATTCTCTCGTTTAGATTTTAATTCATGCACAGACAAGCTGATGTATAATTAGAGAATAAAATAAACGATATGCGAGCACTTCTAATGTTTTAGAAAAGAAGCGGTGAAGTAATTACTGGCGAAAAATCCAGGTCCACCGATTTCTCTCCTTCCTATCTTCTCTTGACGAGAGGCAAAAACCAGAAGTAAAAAGGATCAGCGGCTTCGGAGAAGGCAAAAAAGGGAGCGCAGAAACAGTCGGAAAAGCGAAGAGGGAGATAGAGTCGAGTGTAACGAAGCTCTGACTTTTTAATTGGAACAGATTCAAAAAGCTATGCGTCTTTTCATTGCGAGATGCGATACGATGCAAAGCGCCATGAATGATAGTCGAATCAACGCGGGCTCGCGGATCAATCCGGGATTCCATGGATTTCCGAGAATCGCATAAAATCACATTTCATCTTTCCTTTTTTTGTCGCAGACGACTCGATCACATGTTTCAATAACGCTGAAAATACGCTAAATGAGAGCGTATCGCAAAGTTTTTACTTATTCACATAAATAAAGACTGCTATTCGTGAGCATAGTGAGACTAACGAGTCGTTGCTTCGACAATTAACTACAACTATTTCAGATACAAAGAAAAAAATACATATAAATAAATACAATAAATTAATACAATAAATTAATACAATAAATACAATAAATTACATAATCTTAAAATATAATTGACAAATAATATATAAATTAATTTTTGTTGCATTGTTATTTTTATTATTAAGAAAACATTCATTTGGAACGCTTTTTTTTCTTCGACAAAAATGCGATTTTATGAAATGTCAGAATTATACGATTGTAAGAAACGCTGCGAACAATGACTATTTTCTCCTTCGAGGAACAGAGAGCCTACGGCGAATTCAATTTAATGGGCTGTCTGCTTGCAAATTGCGCTACCGCTAAAGGGCAGCAAACAATTCACAACTCGTTTTAACTTCCACCATTTCAATCCCAAGAGTCGATGGGCCCTTCTCGCGGGCGTCGTATTTGCATAATTGTCTCTTATGCTCTGTTTCTCTCCTCCAAGCAAACCGCTTTTCTTTCATTGTTCATCGGCCCAATTCTTTTCGTAAACTTGCTATTATTAGTCGACCGTTAATTTTAAAGATTCAAGAAATATTAACATACATTTGCGATAACAATTACGAATTTTTTTGTGTTATAATATAATCATATAATCATTATTTTTCATAGAAACAATTAATGATTTTGCATCTATTGTAATAAACTAAATAATCGGTATAATTTTTTACAAAAGTTTTCTTGAATTTTTTTAAATATTTTGATTGTAAATATGAATCTTTTAAAATAAGTATTCTTAAAATTCATCTTCAACATAATCAAAAAAATTCATCTCGATTGATTCCAAAAAAAACTGCCCCGGGTGAGGATCGAACTCACGACCTTAAGATTATGAGACTTACGCGCTGCCTACTGCGCTACCGAGGCAGATACAATCTACTTCTATTTTATTCGAGATAATCTAAATACAATTGTGATGAAAAATAAATATGTAACTTGCTGGCATTTTTGTAATATCGTAGAAATAATTCTTACAAATATATAACATTTTACATAAAATAATATGCTAGAAAAATGTATTATTGTCTAATAGGAATTTGTAGGCAAGTTTAGGAATAATTTTTTAATGTGAAAATATAGGATAAAAAGAGAGATAAATTGTACACGTACGTAATTCACGCGTAGCTGTAAAGATCGCGTTTCATTTTCCATAGTTATAAATAGACGAGAGTGATATCGGTGTGGGGCTGAATAGCTCAGTGGTAAGAGCAGTCGCCCGGCAAGCGAAAGACTCTGGTTCGATTCCCGATCAGCGACTTCGCCCCGATATTTTTCTCGTCTACGTCTCTCCAGGGAGATAAAGAGGATTTTATAGAATTTCTCAAAAATGAGAATCTATATCTTGGTTAAATGCACCAAGTAAAATATATGCATATGCCGTATTTTCGATCTTGACGATTCAGAAGATTGAAGAAAATAAAAAACTCTGTTATGTGAACTGAATTGATGGTAAGTAATATATTGAATAATGTGATTTTTTGAGGAGCTACAAGTTCATCATCTGAACTATATAATCACTTTCTTTATCTTTACTGCTCTTTGATGCAGTTTCTTTGGTTTCGTACTTTTTTTGTCTTTCTCTCGTAGTATCTCTTCGCTTAATTCTTGTTTTTGGTTATTAATAGACTGAAGAGACTCCGCTGAGGAAATATTATCTTGCTGAAGTACCTCTTCTGATATTGTTTCAATACGTTGAACTGCTCTCTTCCGCGTTATCTTTGGGGTCTTAGCGACAAACGGGCCAGATGAAGGTTTTGACAATTGAGAAGCCAATGCTCGAAAATAAGCCAAACTATCATCGAAATTCTCATCAAGATGCTTTTGTAGTTCCATGCCACGATTGTGAACACTTAAAAGATCCTTCGCAATTCTCTCTCGGATCTCATCCTTCGATTTTATGTTCATCATGAGAGAGTGAGAATGGAATTTTCGGAGTAGCTTACAAACATGTTTGTCTAATGAATTACATTGATTAAATGAACTTTATTTGATAAATCCTCCTCTGTTAAATACCTCGCAGAGAGAAATGATTCATTATTTTTTTATTTATTTTTAGGATTATTAATAATTTTTAAAGAAAGAATATTTATTATTTATTTATTGAATAAATTAACATTCTGTGTAGCAAATTTAGTTATTATTAAATTTAATTATATTAGTACATTTTATATAGGACGAATTTACATATTCATACAACAAATTTATTTTCAATTAATATTCAATTAATATTCAATTATATTCAATATATTCTAAATCGAAAGGAATTAGGCTCGTTATATATTAAATAACATGATAAGAAAACTAGCGTCTACGAGCCACAGCGGATGGTAATGCCTAAAAATTCTTTTTAATTGTACACGTTAAATTTCGTGTACAATTAAAAAGAATTTTTAGGCATTACCATCCGCTGTGGCTCGTAGACGCTAGTTTTCTTATCATGTTCTTTTCTTTTCTTCAATCGGAATCGTCAGTACGTCGTTCTAGCAGTATATAAGAATAAATTGTAAACAGCACGGACATGAACCAATTGACTGTTTTATCATTCGCCGAAAAGTAGTTGCGGCTACATAGTTCCAGATGGCATAAATGAATGTATGCGCCGCTAGTGTAACTTAGAAAAAGCATTATACAAAAAATGACGGCCGACCCCTCTCAGACTTCTTTCTGCTACACGTAAATTTTATGAGCTATCAATAATTGTAAAAAGAGCACTTCATATGATTTAATTACGCTGCACAATATTTTTCATTTGCTTACTGACAACAATATGACAGACGCAAAAAGCTTAAAAGAAGCCATCGAGCAATATGAGACTCAGGTATATTAATAGTTTATGAAAAAAAAATTCGGCATATAAATTAAGTACTTTTGATTATAATTTTCTTTCACTTATAATTTTTTTTTTTTTGTTATCTTAATCTGTATCTATTTACATTTACACAATTGCATATTTGCAGCTATCACAAGTAGATGTGACACTATCTGCAACGTCAATAGGACCTGACAGAGACAATTTGCTTAGCCTAAAGTCTGACATCGAGGAACTCATTTCGTTGACAAAAGAGAGCTTGCAAAATCTTGAAGAACATGGTACAATAAACAAAAATACAGATGAAAATTCTGATGATGAGACAGAGAGTGTATTAGATAAAGAATATGCCTTATTCAAGGTCTGTCTTAAATATGGTTACTAGTTGTTGACAAGATTAATGTATTTTATTATTTTTATTTCTTATGATTACAATTATAAATCAGTTAAGAAAAAATAATACTATGAAGCATCATTTATAATATAAGAGTTTGTTGCAGCATATTTTTATAATTTTCAAGTCTAATGATTATTTTATATTTGATATGTAAAGCAAAGTAGAGAAAAAGGAGAAACAGAGAGATATGATGCATAATTAAAAATTTGTTGCTTAAATCCATTAGGCAGAGGTGGAAAATTTTTCGGATGATAGTAAAAGTACAAAACTGGACAGTACAACTACCGCAGCTTCCAGTAACATTGAAGTCAGTATACTATTCTCTATGTCATAACAATGACACAATTATACGGTGCAAGTTGATCTTGTAGGATGAATTGAAGGAGCTGGAGGGTATGAAATGCAAGGCCCCTTATGGTAGTACTTGGAGTGGTACTAGTTACCATAATGCTATGGTATGTTCTGCTTATAGAAGCAACGTGGAAGCAATTAAAGATATCCATGACATTAAGGTATGTTTGTTTTTAATATTATTAAATATTAATTTAGATTATGTGAGATGTATATTTTTGCTTTCGTTTTAATTTTATAAACTAATTTTATAACTTGATTTATTATTAATCAGGTTCGAGTCTTTTTTCTTAATCCAACACACAAGGAAATGATTCCATGCCCATATTTTCTTGATGGTAGTTGTAAATTTTCCGATGAAAATTGCCATTATTCTCATGGTGAAATTGTGCCATTTTCAAGTCTACAGGAATACAAGTATTTTCTTTGGAGTATTATTTTCTAGAAAATTTATTATTTAGATTATTAGTATTTTTATTTTGATATAACTTATAATTTGTAGGGAACCTGATTTTCATAGCATTAAAATGGGAAGCCGAGTATTAACTAAACAAAAAAATAATATATGGCATAGATCTGTGATTTTAAAATTACCTGAAAATGATGGGGATAAGTATAGAATAAAGTTTGAAGCAAGTGGCAAAATCGTGGAATCTAGTTTACAAGATCTTTTACCTCTTGGTAAAAATGTTTTCAAGATTAATTATACTATAATCCCATTTTCTTCATAATTTTAATTTAAAAAAATGTATATATTATACTTACAGATGATGCAGATTTAGAAATGTCAGATACCTCTGATGATACTGATGATGATGATTCTGTTTGTAATTCACCATCGTACTCGAATGACGAACTGATTCACAAATCTCTTTTAACATTACAATCTACCGAATCTTTAGGAAATTGGGAGAAACATACACGTGGAATTGGTAGCAAATTAATGCTGCAAATGGGTTATGTAATTGGTACTGGTCTTGGAAAACGTAGTGATGGTAGAATAAAACCTGTTGAAGCCACAGTCTTACCACCAGGAAAATCATTAGGTTTGTTTGAGTTTCCCAACACTGTCATGCAATGCATTATTGATTTATTTCATTTTTCAGATCATTGTATGGAATTACGTGAATTTGCCGGTGGTGACAAAGATTTGTTCTCTGCAGAACGTAAAATGCGTAAGCAGCAACAAAAATTAGAACAACAAAGAGAAAGACAATATCAAAGAGAAAAACAGAAAGAGGATAGAAATGTGTTTAATTTTATCAATAAAACATTAGGCGATAAACGTAAGTTGTAAAATAGAAACCTAACAATGCATTCAAAGAATATATTGTAATATATATCTATTGAATCTAATTAATATATGTGTATATATATGTGTCATTTATCTCTTGCAGCTAAAGATGACGTAGGTAGTAGTTCACAAAGTAAAGATAAACTTAAGGCAGAATCGAATAAGAATCTAAATGTAGCCAGCTTCCAAATTGCGAAGACAATAAATTGTTTAGAGAAGGAATCGTTAAAACTTAAAGAATCATTAATAAGGCATACTAAAGGTAGTATACTTTACAATAATATTTTGATGAGATATAATGAGAAACAAAAGGAGCTTACTAATTTAAGAGCTTCCGAGAAAAGTATCGCCGCTGAACAAACTCAAAGAAAAAATAAAGCTAAATTAACTATATTTTGATACCTAAGTAGCATGAATGTAAAATATCAATAAAATATGTTAAATATGTTAAATATATCTGTATATAAAGCGAATCTAAATACAATGATTAATATTTTTTCATTGTCTTATTACTATTAGCATGAACAAAAAATAAAAAAGTATGATTAAGTTTAGAAAATTTTAAAATTGTCTGAGACTAAAGAAATTTTTTGATTGTATTTCCATAAAATTGTCAAATTTATTAGGAGAATATATCTCTACAAGAAGTAACGCAAATTGAAAGAGGGATTCAAATTTCGCGCTATTTTGATATAAAAAATAAACTATAGGGTATGTTCAGAAATCTTATCCGTGAGAGAGAATAATTTTTAATTGACCAATCGGAATAAATGTCTGTCTCTTTTGCTAACATCTTATTGGTCATTTTCATTGAAAAAACTACCAATGAGGTACTAGCAAGAGAAACAAAATAGGCTTCTTATAGGGTGGCACCCGATTGATCACGTCGCCAATTGGCCAATTCAAAATAGGACTCTCTGATTGGTTAATCGTTGCTGGTTACCCTAGGCACAGGTCGATATAATTGGCTGTGGTCAATCGCAACGTGGTCAAACGGGACGCTTCCCTTCGTATGTAGTACCTCTCTCTTATGTCGACGCTCACCTATCGCGATCTTCAGTTTATTCTACAAGTCGACGATCCCAACTTCTCAGGCTTCTCTTTGGTCCTCCACTTTCTCAGGCGGCATATCAGAACAATATGTCCGTTAAAGCGACGAGGCCGCTTTCAGATGTTTCTCTGTCACAATTATTTGACAATGCTTTCGAATTGTACAACAGTATTAATAATACACAGGAGCCGACAAATAGCCCAAAGATACAGGTGTTTATTTTGATTTTAAATTTTTTGAAATAATGAGACCAAAAATTGTGACAATATATATCTTTCAATTAAGTTAAAAATTATGTGAAGTTTATATACTAATAATGAAAACTATAATAATTTGTTATTTCTTTTTTCTTGCTGATTATTATAGTCAGATATAAGGCAGACAATGCGTATGTTTGAAGATGCAACAAAACTAATATCTTTAGTGGATATGTTCAGCGACAATGAAACTTTCGAGGAGGTAGCTACAGAAAATATCAAATATTTCTTACTACCAGCTCTATTGGGCAAGCTCACCACCAAAATATGCAACAGCAACGACAGAATGCATCTTGTTAAAGTAGCAGAAATCTATTTTGTGGACTTTTTGAAGCGATCGAAAACATACGGTTTGACAGATGTGAAAATACCAAAGATTAGTGATGAAAAAAAGGAAGCAGGGGATAATCAAAATAAATTGAAGAGTGAATCCAGGATGTTGGAGGATATGGTTAGTTTTTTATTCAAATCATATTGCAGATAATTATATATAATTATTATAATAATAATATAATTCTATTTGTTTTAGGTAACTCGTAGAAATACAAAGTTACAAAGATATAAACAAGAGAAAGATTTGGAGTCTCGCTTGGATACTTTAAAGAAAAATTTAGACAATCCAAACGTAGATGATGAAACAAAAAGAGAATACTTTGTTACTCTTTTAAAATTGTACGCAGTTCAAATAGTAGAAGAGTTACATTTTCTAGAAACAGAAAAAATAATTTTGGGAAACATGATGACGGAAGTGGGGCCAACGCATACTATGGCTTCCAAATCGCATACGACTGAAAAGCAAAAATTTCCAGTTCAAAAATTACAACCCATTATCATTACGCGTGATGAGGTACAGAAGAAAGTTTTTGGAGCAGGTTATCCAAGTTTACCAGTCTTGACAGTCGAAGAGTTTTATGAACAAAGGGTCAAAGATGGAGAGTAAGCAAATATTATATATAATAAACATTTTTTTAGTACAAATTTGAAAAAAGTTAATTAATATGCATGATACTTTTCTGATATCATTCTAGCTGGCCCGATCCATCAAAGCATGGAACAAATTCTCGATGTCTGCAAGATATGGTGAATAAAGATACAAGCTCCAACGACGAGGATAACGAAACTATCTTGAAGGAAGAGATGGAAGAGAAAGATGACCCCGAACATCTCGAACAAGCGCGCGCAATGGATGAATATAAAGACATGCATCGTCGCGGATGGGGTAATCGTGCGAACAGAAGTTAAATTGAGGATTAAAAGTTATTACAATATTCTGCGTCTCGGTATGTTTTTTACATTATCGTGTTTTTATAGCACTAATGCTGTAACTTTTTATCAAATCATGTTTGATTTATGCAAAGTTGCAAGTCTAGTAGGATTTTTTGATCAGTGATAGGTATTATTTGTGAGTAGGAGGAGAAGCATGTTAATTTTTAAAAGGAATAGTATATACGTATATATCTATCCCAAGTATATACATATATATCTATCCCATGTTTATTAACAAATTTAAATAAACCTACATCTCTTGTAAATAAATTGAATAAGAATTCAATAATCTCCGCGAAATTGGTAAGTGGTTAAAGTAACTTTCGATAATTTCGATAATTTAATATCAAAGTAATTTTATATCAAAAATATATATATAGTTTTCAAGTATAGGTATATTCTACTTTGTGTGTACATAATAATATATATGAGATTTTGTTGAGTGTGTAAACAGATAGAAAACGAGTCCTTTTTATCAGACTGATGTTACAAGATGCTGCAAACTCGTCCAAAGACGGCAATAAAATCGTTGAGTAATTTATTACGCGAATACAATATAAATCCAGGGGAGAGGCTCTCCGCGCAGCCACGTCCTAGATTCTTCGAGCCTTCGGGAAATTACGTCACGGCGGCTTGCTCGCCTCGAGAGAATCTCTCGTCTAAATTTCGACGTTAATGATTCATGAAGGTGCTGTAATATATATGCGTGTACACAGTCGTAGTTAAGCATCTGTGAATGGCCGTCCCGATATAAACGCGTATCTTACAACACAAGGCTATTGTCTTTCCGTGTATGCGCTTCGTAAACACGCGGAGATCCCTCTCGTGTGTTCACGCTTACATTTGTGTGCGTGCGAATCGGTGAGATTGACAGTACCGTAAGCTAATATACGGTTTGCTGTGAACGATATTGACGCTTCAGGAATGCTTGATAGAGGTAAAAACAATAAAAGCGAATGTAATTTTATGTATAATCATTAGAGCGAGTTTTTTTTTTACGTAATTATAATTGTATCGATTTTTGCATCAACGAATGGCTTGCATATTTTTTTTTGTTATTCATGTTGATCCATATTCATATTGATTACGTGTCGTGTTTTTTTTTCTTTTTTTTTCTAGTTTTTTATCCTACTTGTAATAGCGTTTGCTCCATTTGATTCTCGGAAAAAAAGAAATGATATAATAGATACGCGGATAGATGAAATAATAATAGTATAATACGTAAAGTAATATTACATTTTCATAACTGGACTACGTGTTTCAATAAGCCACGAGGAATATTTTAATACAACTTGTTTCTAACGGAAGTTTAACAGTACAGGGCTATCTTGTCGGAAAATATCTTAGCGTTAATAATCTGTAATATAAATTCTCGATGCATTCGTGTATCATCAGAAGGGCAGATTTCGGCGATGGCGCCGAAAAACTCCGCCACTTGTCTGGCCTGGCGATGATGGCATCAATCCTGAAGTTGCCGCGGCGCAGGTGTCACTCGGGCAAAAATGGCGTGTACACACACGCATGCGTATACGTGCGATACGTGTCGTGTGTGCGCGCGCGCGCGCAGCAGGTCGCGTTCGCGCAACTCTTCTTCCTGCCATGTGTTGGTTCGTGCGCGCTTGGAGGGACACGCGGCTGATTAGAGGCGCGTGAGCGTGTCTCTCGCGAACGAGTGCACGCGCCCCCGCCTCCCCCGTCCCCGCCGCCGACGCGGTAACGCGTGGTTGTGTCGCGCGCTCGGAATACATCAGAGTTTCTCGGAAGCGGCCTCGAAGCTAGCCTCGAAAACTATCGCGCGAACGGACATCTCCATCGGAAGCGTAGCGATTAGCGGTTCGTCCTCCCTCCGTCCTTGTTTCTCTCGCTCCGTTCAAATCGTCCCCGGTGCATCTCGGGGGACTACGATGAGCCTGCGCGCGTCATTGACAGCTCCCCGTAAAGGAATTCCGCTGATGCCCCATTCATGAGAGAGTCCTGCGTCAGCGATTGTTGGATGTAAGTAGATATCGAGTTGGGTTAGGTTGCGCGATAATACGCGTTGTATATATTTCGCGGTGTTTTGCCGCCTAAGATACATTTTTTTGTTATATATATACATATGTATGTATGTATGTATGTGTGTACGTGTCCGTATAGTTGTGTATGAGCTGCGTGTTTACATGCGCGAGACGCGCCGCTAAGTGTGCCTCTTATTATTCAAGAGAGAGAGAGAGAGAGAGAGACGGTGTGTTACGAATAAATTACTGACGACTTCACATTTATCGCATTTTTACTCGTATATTCGATTACACGACCAAGAGAAACTGTTACGATCTGTTTACGAGCGCGTTGGAAATCCCACCTGTGTGAAAAAGTTATGTATACATACGTATATGCACGCGACTTTATTCAAGTTTGTTCAAGCTTCTCTATTTTGTGGAATGTGATGAAACGATGTGCGACGTTCTTATGATTTAAGAAAAATTTTCTATTGTGAATAAGTGTTCATGCTCTTTAACTAAGCTAACATTAAGTAAGAATGAGCTGGGTAAAAATTATAAATTTTTTATCTCGCGCGTTTTTGACTTGGTTTCAAAATTTTCAATTTTTAAAGTGACAAATATTTGTCTCTATCTGTTAAAAAATAAAATTTTGCAAGGTCATAATACCTAAAACTATCAGTTAAATTAGTAACAAACAAAATGAAAATATAAAGGCTAAAAATATAAGAAACACACACACACACACACACACACACATATATATATATATAAATTAAAAAAACATTTATCTACTTGCAAGGTATTATTGTTTAAAAATTAAATATTGAAAGATTTGTTGAGATTATAACATGCATTTTATAGAAAATTTATCGTATGATTAATAATAGCTATACACATTTGAAACAATACAATTTTATTTTATGCAATTCCTAAGATTACTCATAATAGATGATTTCATATTTGTAATACCTATGTTGATCTTAACGTTATCTCTCTGAATCATTCAAGATTAGGCAAAGAAAGACATGAATAAGATATAAGTAGATATATAAAACAAAATTTCTGATATGATAATATATTAATATAATCTTTTTAGGTATCAAAATAGGAATATATTGGGAGTTAAAAATTTATAAAGATTCTTTAGAATTGGTAAGTATATTGTTGCATGCTTGTGCATCGTCCCTTTGCAGTCATTTGTGTTGTCCACTGATAGGAAGCTTGCCGATGGAAGATTGTTTCTGAGATTTTGCAGATTCTGCCTCTTTGGGTTTCAATCATTTTTAGACACTTAATTTTTCCAATAATTGATTAATAGACAATACATTCTCTAATTCTAAAAGAAGTTTGGATACATCAATTTATTTGTTAACATTGTTGTCTAACACATTATATATATTATCTAATACCTTGCAAAATTCAATCTTTCTTTTTTTATTGATAATCTTTGTTTATCAACAACTTCTTAATTATGTGCTTCGAGAAGATCTTCCATCAATGACAAGCTTCCTGCCATGTTGTACAGCGAACAACATAAATGACCATGAAGGAATGATTCTCAGGGACGCAATAATATATACATAAATATAATATATACAAGAAAGAGAAAAACGGAAACATGGATAGAGGACATGGTGCCACCTACGCAGGAGGTGATAACCACCTACTCGAATACTGGGAGGAATATCAGAAAATGATAGAGGAGACAAAAATGTTGGATGATTATTTGGATGAAGAATGCAGTCCACGTAGTTATGATGGTTTGTATTATTAATAATATATTTAAGTTACATATTCAAAAAAAGATTTTATATTTTAAAAGGGTTTTATACAAGAGATTTATATAAAACTTTGTATAAAACCCATTTAAGGTTTTTCTTCGAAGGAATTTTGTTATTCTGCAATATTTTATAATAATTTCTGTAATAATATATTTATAGAATATATGAAATATATATTTTCTACAGAAGGGGAAGAAGAAGCTGACTGGTTACGTGCAGCAGGTTTAGGACAGTTAACAGAAGCATGGAAAGCAGGAAGAGAGGTACAACCAGAAGAATTAGGTGCAGCCTTACGTCCGCTGTCGCGAGCTCAGGCAGAAGCTGTGAAACGTCGCGTAAGATCGCTTAATCATACAGTTAAGCAACGTTTTAATCAGCGCCAACGTGTTCGTAAACCGGATATTAGAGATGTCTTTAAAGATGTAGAGGTATGTCGATAAATTGATAAAGATGTTAAATACATAAATTACGTCTTTCATTTTTAAAATAATTTTTAATTACTATCAAATAAATATTTTATCTATTATATAATTTATAATATTGTTATATTTTATCTGTTAAGTATATTTATCTTTTGAAAGGTATCCAGTACAGGTACACGCTCACGTAGTGCTACTCCTGATTCATTGGATTCGATTCCAGGCGCTACATCAGAAAATGCATCACCTCCTTCACCCCCGACAGTCAATGTCATTGAAGATACACACCAAAAGTAAATTATTATATTTTTATATTTGATATAATTAACATCTCTTTCATTTTCGTTGCAATATATTTATTTTTAATTGTTTAATTGTTTAAAGCGCTAGTGTTCCGAGTTTTGTATCCATATTCCATCGAACGACAAATGAGGGAAAAACAACAGTTCGTAGAACACCAAGTGCTCCGCAAACAGTGCTTAACTCTATATCAATATCTACTCCAACTCCTGCTGCACCTGTACAAGAGATTTTCCGGAAAACCGGCAATTGGTCGCGAGGGGATGTCGCAAGTGATTCTGGTATTACTGTTTTTACACTTGCAATTAATAATTTATAGATAAACAATAATTTTAATCTAAAATGTAAAACTATATAAATATACAGAAGGGATTCAGCTGACCGGTTATCATAGATTGGGAACGATACACATTGCTAGACCAGTTCAAAGACATAATGATGATTTCAATAGTGTGGCAAACACAGCGCATATAGATACCGAGTCGGTTAGAAAATTGACCGCACCAAAAGAATCGACTCTTCGGTAATTTTAAAATAAATAATTGTTTATATAATTCTTACATAAAACGCTTCGTCCTACTATAAATAATATCAATAATATATTATTTTAGACGAAGTGCAGGAAGTCATGCAACAGTAACTCGAAGTCATAGCAGTTTATATGGCTTGACTAGGCCGGCAAATGAAAATTTAATAGCTCGTCCATTAAGTCGCACGTCGTCGCATGGTCATCTTAGTTTCGAGGAAATGTGCAGAACTAATGAAACTAAATCTCAATGGTCTTCCGACACTCTTGTAGCTCATGACGATTATGCCCGGCAGGATGTAGAATTATTATCGCAACGAGATCTTACAAGGTTGCAACCCCTATTATGGCTTGAGCTCACGGCAATTTTCGATAAATATAATATACCGCTCACGAGACGAAAACCTAATAAACGAAGGAGAAAAAGTGTGTAATATTGAACGATCATTTATCTTTTCTGTACCATATGACTTGTGTTTATATATTCATACATTTGCAGCTGGAAATTTGTTTGGCGTTTCTTTATCGACACTATTGCTCAGGGATAGTCAATTAACAAGCGAAGAGAATAACATACCGTTAGTATTTCAAAAGATTCTTAATGAACTGACAAAACGTGGAGTAAAAGAAGAAGGTATTCTCCGTGTCGGAGGCCATAAGCAGAAAGTGAGAATATTTAATGGAAAATAATTAAAATACTTAATAATTATTATCTATTAATTATTATTAACTTTTCAGGTAGAGATTATTTGTACAGAGCTAGAAACAGATTTCTATTGTAAACCGAAAGAAATGGACAAATTGTTTAAATGTACTTCCTGTCACGATTTATCAGCCATTTTGAAAAGATTGTTACGCGATTTGCCGCAACCTCTTCTTACTGTCGAGCTGATTGATGCTTTCTATCAAAGTCATGGTTAGTGCAAATTATTTATATAACACGATATTTTGAGCAGACACTGGAAAAGAATCTTTTCTAACAAAAAAAAATTAAAAACAGTTTTATATAATTTTACATATAGGTGTGAAGAATCCCAATGACTTGGTATATTCTCTCAATCTGCTGGTGCTATTGCTGCCCGTCGAACATCGGTGTACTTTAGAAGCATTGTTGAATTTCTTGAAACTGATCATTGAAAATCAGGCATCGAACAAAATGTCAATACACAATGTGGCGATGATAGTGGCACCATCTCTATTTCCACCTCGCTACATTCACCCTCGGGACCATACCGATCTGACCGCTCAAGTAAACATGGCTGCCATATGCTGTCAGGTAACGGAAGCTCTACTTAATAACGTCGACAAGTTATGGTATGTACCGACGGAACTTATAAATCAATTACGGAGACAGTCCGAAGTGGAGAGATATCGTAAGTACAAAAAGAGATATTACTGATTAGGATCAGTTAATTTAAAATTTACACGTAACCTCAAACTTTGTTATACTTTCATATTAAGTTGTATAAAATGTATTAACAAATCAATTTTCATAAGAATTATTTATTAGTAATTCTTAAAGGCATTGATATAGTGCGTTACACGTAATATTACATATAATGATGGTGCCTGTCTGCATATTATGAGATCTGCAGCATTTTGTCTTTATTTTTGTTAATTATAAGATATTTAGATTAGAATTAATATTATTTTTTAGTAATTTTTTATAATGTTCGTTAGTCAATTATGAAATATTTCATCTCATCTTTGTTGATAACAATTGCTGTCATATATTATGCTGTCACTTATTAAAATTTGTATATGTAGTATGCAAATAATCTGTGTTTCCAACAGGTGCAATAATTTAATAAGAGATTTCTTCTTTGTTTGATAACATAGAAATAACATATATAATTTATGTAGGAACAAATTTATACAATGCAAGCTGAGAAATTTTATTTCTGGCAGATTTTATATTACGACAAATTATATTTAACTTGCATATTATGATTGCAATATAAAATATCAATTCATTTCTAGCATCTCGGATATATTTATATTTTTGTGCACTAATTATTTAAATTTTTCTATTAATAATACAGCAAAGTCAGATATGTGATATAGGAAATTGCATTTTTCAAATATTATATTACAATTTTTTGTTATATTGTTAATTACAATCTATAGAACAAATATAATTTTGTCGATTGTTAATTTTTTATTCAAAGATAATCTAAAATAATCTCTTTACAGAATTCTGTACAGAAATTTAAAATCAATGCGAAAGTATAACAGAATTAACTATTATTAGGTAATGCCTCTCAATTTATCATTATTAAATTCATTTATTATATTCTCGTAGAAAATGTAGAATGGTATTTATTATTCTGATTTCATACTACTGTGTCTTACTCAATGATGTCAATGTGTGCCTATAAATCTTATACCCATTTGGGAAAGACGAAAATCCATTATTATATATAAGGCGACGTTTATATGTAAGATTTCTAATGGTGTGTCCATTATTGTGACATATCATTTTCAGAAGAATAATTATATTTATCATTCAATATGCCATATTATCATAAGACTCTGTATATACCATTTCGTATTATTGTTATATATTTACGTTAATAAAGTGCCAAAGAAAATAAAAATTAGGTATTTTCCAAAATGTACGATTTTCACAATCTGCAAGTCTAGATACATATAGAAGTGTGGTGCAATATATATTTGTATATTTATGTATTATTAGAAGAAGCACAGTTTTTAAAACTTATATAAAGCACTAAACTTTTCTCTACATCTTAAGGATTTTCAAGAATTTCATACTTTGCAGTAGTGATATCGAGTCGGACAGTGTCATTGGCCGAATCTGTAAAATAAAAATATTGAAATATATGAAATTATTTTCAAAGCTATAATATCTAGGATGGAGCGAAAGAGAATCTACATTTATTACCATAATCCTTTGATGATGACTTTTTTCCGATTCTTGATCCTTTAAATTCTCATTTTCAGATGATACCTGTGCTTATGATTTAAAGAATCAGCAATTATAATTATAATTCATATATTTATTATTAATAAAATGCATATAAAATTTTTTTTTGAATACATATATGTACACAGGGTATCTGGAAAATCGCAGTACTTCGAAAAGTGATTCAGGACTCAAAAGGAAGAAAAAATGCTACACAAACATAGATCCAGAAATAAATCATTTCTGAATTATAGCCGCTTTTATAGAATTAAAAAATCGTTATTTATATTCTGCTTGGCATCCTTATATTTTCCTTAAATTTCTTTTAAATTTAAATTTTTAAATTTGAATTTAAATTTAAATTTTTAAATTTGAATTTTTAAATTTGAATTTAAATTTAAATTTTTAAATTTGAATTTTTAAATTTGAATTTTTAAATTTGAATTTAAATTTAAATTTTTAAATTTGAATTTGAATTTGAATTTTTAAATTTGAATTTAAATTTAAATTTTTAAATTTGAATTTAAATTTAAATTTTTAAATTTGAATTTGAATTTGAATTTGAATTTTTAAATTTAAATTTAAATTTTTAAATTTGAATTTGAATTTGAATTTTTTAATTTGAATTTAAATTTAAATTTTTAAATTTGAATTTGAATTTTTAAATTTGAAATTAAATTTAAATTTTTAAATTTGAATTTAAATTTTTAAATTTAAATTTTTAAATTTGAATTTGTAAATTTAAATGTTTAAATTTATTTTATTATATATAAATACCTGTTTTTTGTGACTTTTATCCTGATTTTAACCAAATCTGTTGAAAGTAGTGTTGTGTTGTATTGCATTCTTTTTTGTTCTTTTCAGAATGCATATTGATGAGATCAATTTCTCCCATTGGGCATAAAATTGTAAGATATCAATATATAAAAAAATTGTAAATTATTCTCATTATTCAATTAATGTTTAGTATTATAAGTTTTCTTACATTTTAATGTCTTCTTCTTGTGAACTCTGTAGGAAAAATGAATAATAATTTTTATTCCACTAAGAGATTATCGATTAAAGTTTTGTATATAACATTGTTGTGAATTGTAAAATGTAACATGTTAAATTAATCTAAGAGCAAAAATTGAGTAATCACATAATCTCATTTACTATGCAATTCATTAATAATCATGTCAAATTCTGTCAAATTTCCATTGTTGAATAGGTAAAGATTTTTACGATGATTGAAGCCAAAATTTCCCAGTCATCTTCTAAACCGATCGACAATACGATTACAATGATCTTCATGCGAACGAGAATTTTTAAATATCCGGATATGTATTTTGCATCGATGATAATAACTATTGAGGTAAATGATATATTATGTAAAAATTATTATATTAATTATTATTTATTATCAATTTATTATATTAATTAAATTAATGTATCTTGAGAAGATCATGTTCCTCTCTGTATCTTTATTTGATTTATGTGCATATCACGATTTTTCTTCCTTTATGCATCGATAATTATGTTTATGCCATATGTTAGAATGTAATTGACGATGGTCCACTGCATTCGATTTCTTTGTAATAGTATTAATCGTGGGTAATGTGGCGCAAGTGTTAGTTTGATTAAATAGCAATTGAGTCGATGGATTCGTGCAATAAATCCTCATTTTGAGATTATAATTCATAAAATACAATTAAAACAATAATGCGCGTGTGTTCAGATCATTTTTAGATGATTTATAAAAAAAATATCTTTTCTTTATTTATAAATACGATAATTGATACAAGTTAAATCGAATTAATATATAATTAATCGATACTTACGGAAAAATGTTTAGAATTTGTTCTATAAAACGCAACAATAGTATAGAATAAAAAAGAAGCATTTTTTGTTATTATATTGTTATACATTTTATTGATACATTTATTAATTGCACACGCATTTTTAATAAGTTATATCGTATAAATTAATATCCGCTAAAATTTTTTGCAGCTCTCTCTAATGAAGAGATTTCGCTCTGATGCAATTACAATCTAAGTATTTCATGTTGTTGCGAACTTATCGCACAGACGCGATGACTTTTTCCAGATCTGCATCGCCGATAATCGGCGCGAACAATTCCCCGGACAATTCACGAGGACAGCATCCGGTGAGAACAGGAAGAACAAATAGAATCCTGGCCAATTTGTTATCACGGTCATCGCGATGTCGAAGATGTCGTATCAACGCATCCACAGCGTTATCTCGCGCTTGCGACATTACGTGGAAACCATTGGTGGTATTGGCAATCTCTGTAATTTTCAAATGATATACACGTCTCTAACACATTTTTATCATCGACCTATTGAGACGAAATTTTACTCCTATTTTCAACCTCAATTTTCTCATGTTTATGAATCTTAGAGGATTAATATATAAGAATTCAATCTACTTTATGTATTTCAAACAGATAATAAACGAACGAATAAAGTTTTCTAAGAGCAAAAGAAAAGTTTTTGGCAAAACTATAGATGAAATCAGTTTCAAAAGAATGAAATTTTATTGATCTGTTTAAAGTATTAAGATAGATGACAGATCGGATGATGATTGAAAGTAGGAGAAGAATTTCGGGAGGGCGCGTGATGTTTATTTAGTTTTTACCGGGACGACACAGTACAAATGTGTCCAGGATGCACAACTCTACATCGTCGAGTTGCAATTTTGCGATCGCGGTGCGAGCCGTAGTTAGGCATGCTATCGCACCGTCGTTATTCGCCTCTTGTCCTCGTATGCTCATCAGATCGACCGGCCACGTGGCTGCGCGTAGAACGAAGAGAGCGGACCATCCACGACGGAGAACCTTATTTTGCTCCTCTACGCTCAGCATTGAAAAGTCTCGATGTCGACGTGCACTCCGAACGGCTGCCAGGAATATTTGCGCAGATATTTCATACTGTATAGCCGTACCTGATAAAATCCGCTTGAATTATCGTCGAGGATAATTTTTTTTCAAGACACAAGCGACTGAAAGATCCTATAATCTACTGCGAGTTACATAATTTATATTATATTTAAGAAAAAAGAAAATTACCAGATGATATAATCCTTGTCGGTTGTATATGGCGCGACATGACAGGTAAGAATATATTCTCCCCAGTTTCGGATTCGTGTAACGTCTTCATCATTAAAGTATTGTTCAGTGTGGGATTTTTAAAGGGTAAATATATCTCGGAATTATTAAAGCGGGCGCATAGAGTTGTTGATAAATCGATTGTAGGCTTCCAAGTCAGACTAGAATTATGCAGATCTGAGAGTGCGTTACTTCGAACACGCGGTCCTCGTTCTTCCTGTACCGCTGTGAAGATATATGTTTGAAAAGTTTAATCGAAAATTCTCTTGAAAATGTATGTATAGAGAAAATTGCTTTTATCAACAATTGTTTTTAAAACAAAAAATCTTATACATATAAAGATACAATTTTGTGAATGCATGTTAAATATTTATCAATGTTTCATCAAAGTGTCGAAAATTTGTTTTGCAGGTTGCATAATTATTTGCGATTGACTTTTATTACAAAAAACCATATGTTCGTGTACTTATATTATCAAAATAATAATATATTATATGTATATATCTTCACCTATATATTATAATTGAGTAGATATAGAAAAATTATCTATTTCAAATAAAATTATTAATTTCTTTATATACATTATTCATATAAATAAAGCATACAAAGGAATTAATAAATATTTAAAATAATTTATAATTATATAATATAATATTATAATTATTATTTATAATATATAATAATTGATTTTATAATTATTATACATTATTATAAGTTATAATATTATTATAAGTTTATAATTTTTTACTTTATTGCAGATTCGAGCTTTAAATATGACTTTGCTTGGATGATTCTGAAATCTTTTTTATAAAATAAGGATTCACGAAAACATTCACTCATTCTTTCATTTCGTTACTGTGACTGTCTTATAATCAATACGAAGGCGCGCATAACAATGATGTGGCCGAACAATTTCAGCGGGATTGCTTTAATTCTCCGATCACAGCGTATAGACTTTGTGTACTTAGGAGCTGACCACCGGAGTTGACACTCGATGTCGTTTCACATGACACGTTATCGCAATGGCTATCACTATATTATTTACAAGACTATCCAGAAAGTTGGCTAGAAAGACAACTATCACGGCCTGTATTCGTTTACTTATGTAACGGATTTCATCTTTTTCTCACAATTCTTAAATATTTTATTTCTGATGTTAAAATTTTAATGTTTTTAATATTAAAATTTTAATTGTAAGAAATACAAGAATATATACAAAAGAAACTTTAGATTGACATCGATTGTCTTGTTGCAAGTCCGCTGTCAATTAACTTTTCCGGTTAAGGGTGAAGGCACGTGTCTAGCATACGCCATTGTTTGCATCTCGTTGAGTTCGTTAGCACCTGCTCAATCTTACCGTGCCTGTGTCGACGATGATTTTATGTTCTATCTGAGATTTTGTATGACATCATATATTGATTTAAAGATATTCGGCACGAAAAAAAAAAAGAAATGATAAAGATTTCTCGGTTTAATTCAATTCTTGATTGAAAGTAAACGCACATAAGTTATAACATTTTTTAGAAAAAGAAAAAATATTTTAATTAAAAGTTTTATCTTAGAAACGAATGTTAATATATATTAATCTTTGAATGAATATAAAAATATATATGTGTATAATCTCAATTCTCTATTCTCTTCAATTATTACTGCATCAAGTCTAAAACGGAAACTTGATTTCTTTAACCCAGTGTATCAAAGCATATTAAAAATGTATGTTTTTTTTTTTTACTTACCTGCTGTATTCATGCCAACGGAGAAGCATTTTTTTAGACGGCAATGTGGACACCAATTTCGTCTGGCCTTGTCAACGATGCAAGAGCCATCGCTATCTAAATAATTAAAGATTCGATTATGATATTGGATATAGAATATATTTTGATGAAATGTTCTTTTGATACTGCATATACTAAATGACTACTGAAGAACGCTGTATTTTCTATTAATTTTATTAAAAATATACAAACTTGTGCAGGTGAACAAGGCACCGCGACGCACAGATCTCTTGAAGAAGCACGAGCAACCGTCGCAGCAATAAACACCATAATGTTTACCGTATGATCGATCACCGCACACTTTGCAAGACACCGGCGTGGGCAGAGTTCTTCCTATCGCGAGAAGAGTTATCAGATAGAAATTTATTTCACAAATTACACAATTGTTTAGAATTGATTTCCATTAAGTTACTATATTTAATTCGTGCATTTATGCTACCGAAATACAAAATGTTATTCTTGCCTATGATTGAATAGCAGGAGAGAAAGATAGTTACCCATTTTTATTATCCTTAACTGCAACAGATTCAAGAATGCCGGAAATTGAAAATCTGGCCTGATTTCGATGAAATGTGCGAGTCGCGATGATCGCAACGAGCGATCTAAGCGATCGTGCCTGATCGGGCTCGCGCACGAAGACAAACTCTTGTGGAACGACGTGTGGAAGACGCATTCCTGGCCGAGGGAGGTTTAACCCGCGATGGTGGTGGAAACGAACCGGAGGGTGAGTTGGATTTGTCCGATGTGTCACTTTGAACGTCAGAACGCGGAAGGATAATATTTGCGGTGGACTGGTCGAGCGTAACCGATTATTGTTCGATCGTGAATTATTATTTCAAGATAGACGCGAGGAGACGACTTTATTCAATCCATCGACGTCATGTACGATAGAAAAGGAGACTTTTCATAATTATCCAGAAATTATTTGAAAGAAAAAGAAGCATCGCGAGATACTCAACAATATACTTCAAATCCCTTCGTAGAGGTAAGAGATTACACATAATTTTCTTGAAAAAAATTCTTGTTTTATCAATTTACTATATCGCATTTGATTACGAGGGCATATAAAAATATGCTAAATAAAAATTCATAATCTCTTATTTCACCAGTATTATTATGACTCATCTTGAATTTTTTAATCAACAAGGAGGTATAATTTTATTCTGTTTTATTTATCAGCAATACAATTAAAAAGATATGTCAGAAACGCATCAGATTTTACAAATAATACATACATACATACATACATACATATATATATATATATATATATATATATATATATATATATATATATATTATTTGTAACGTTACGTGCGTTATTATTGTACAAAGTTGCTTAAAGTTATGCTTCTAAATTTCGGATACATACAAATAATTGAGTGTCCTCGTTTGCCTCCGAAGAAATATCATTAATTGCGTATTATATAATTATAGCACTGTCATATTGCTTTAATAATTTATTTGTCCATACACAAAAGTTCGTGTGCGGATAATTTGCGAAAATTTTAATTACAATTATAAAATGTACAACGTGATTGATTTATATTTTTCATTGACTTTTCAGGAATTTGTTTTCTTTTTTTTCTAATTCGGAAGGAAACGCTTCCCTCGTCTTAAGTGGATAAAATTATTTATTGCGCATCGCAAAAGTAAGTTATACAGGAACTATACACAAAAAGATTCACATTCTCTTAATTAAACGTATGCTTGAAGAAACCTTGGCAGTCCTTCGAACTGCGAATCAATAAATTATAAGAATGGCTCATCAGGCTTTTGATTTTTACTCTTCAAACTGAATCGTTATTGTATTTGTGCAAAGATTATTATTACGAGTCTCATAACATTATTGTACCTTGAACAATTTTGCCTGTTTCGCTTATTTCTTATGGTTTTATTATATTTATCAACATCAGATAAGGTAAATAATATATGTTTTTGAAATATTTCAGGAAAATAATATAAACAGAATGATATATTTTAGTCAAAGATACTGAAGAGATAGTACAAGCAACTATTTAGTTTTACTTTAGTGTTAAAGCAGTAAAGAGTTGCCAAGGTTGAAAAAGATTTATCTCTAACATTGCAATAGAATTTACTATGGAGATTATTTACAATTAAGTACTCTCTGGATAGTGCGTGCAGCGCGCATTGTTGTGTACAACGAAAAGAAAACTGTGTTGGATAATCGGCGTAAGTAAAAAAAAATTATTTCAACATTTAAACAATGGAAGCATCTTTTTCATTTATAATCGTTAATATAAATCGAAATATACTATTGTTTGATTAGAAAACTGAAAAAAATAATCGTATACGAGAAACACACGATGTCTCATTCTTTAAATGCAGAAATATCATATCTCTATTCACATTGCACATGAGCATTTGCCGATAATCTGTCGTTTTTCTTATAAGTATATCTTTGCGCCTTTGTCAGGAAGCACTCTCTCGCACTAATTATATTATTTTATTATAACTCGGCTATATTTACACGTGTATCGGGTATTATGAATGAACGCAAAAAGCGCATAGTTAAATATGGAAATGTGCTGCGTCTCGTACTAGCAGTTATTATAGTTAAATTAGCGTGGAGTGATTTTTAAAATGCGTCGTTTCTCAAATAATTTTTTTTATAATCCCTGTCATTGACTAGAGATCCAATTCTCCTCCTCATTAGGACTGATCGTGTCTGTTAACACGCTTAGAATCGAAATCTTTAAGACACATCATCGATGATATTTCATCTCTCCTCGAATCCTCGGCATTAGTGTCTACGTAGATTTTTGCGCATGATGTAATCACTTTCTCGAAAAATTTTATAGAGATGTATACTTTTTCGAGAACTAATATATTCTCCTCCCATGTTCACATCATGTTTCAAATTTTATCACTTTTTTAATTTTAAGACAATTTGCGCGTCACTGACTAGTGTCCTGTGTATCGTAGAAGAATCCTTCCGTTTCAATCGTTAACTTTGTCACTCTCTTTCTCAATAGATTAGTCAGATCATTCTAATCAATCTTCATTCTTAGATTCACTACCTCAAACTTCGTAAGCTTCTTAGCGAATACCTAATCCGCGAGGAAGTTTCCTCTTCGTCGTTCCAATTTATTTGCCATCGGAGGCAAAGCTATATAGCGAGTGGACTTTGATCGCTAAACAATTACGAGGACGCGAGTAATTTCGCTGCAGTAGTGACGTGATGCTGATGATGATAGGACGTCTCCTGGGTGGCGTAATAGCTCTGCTGCTGATGTTCGCTCGTGGTCGCGAGTTGATGCGGATGCTGATAGTAAGATGAATATGGTTGGCCAACGACGCCGTCGCAGCTTCGCGGTTCCGTTTTCACAGCAGGTACATTTCCGGTGGCGAGAAGAGAAGTATGACCAAGATAAACAGGTCTGTCGGTCGATATCGACGAGCCCGACGATTTTGACGCTTCGATTTGATGTTGCTGCTGCTGCTGTTGCTGTTGCTGTTGCTGATTGCTCTTTAAGTCTATAGAGAAATAGTCGCAATGTTGTGTAAGTAAATTTTAATAATTTAATAAATGATAAAAGGAATAAAATATCGAATGATATTATTTATGAGATCTAATAAATGTAAAAAATATGTATAATTAATTTTATCGTAATGATTTCAATTTAATATTAGAAGGCAGGTTTCCGAATACGAGCAATTATATGTATAACTAAAACTTATTTACATTAAATATTAGATATATATAAAATTTATATATTTTCATATTTTACAATATATATTTTGTTACATGCAGGAAAAATGTAACATTTAACGGACCTGTAGAAGGAGATGATGTCGTCGAGGTGGTGGTTTCGTGATCCCCCGCAGACGATCTGGCGTTCGGCTCTGGGGTCTTTTTCGGCTTCCTCTTCCTCGTCTGTATACCGTCCTTTCGCATCGCCAGCGGCCTATTGACCCCGTGCAATTTGAAGTATAACCCGCAGGCGTTGCACACCGGCTCGCCGTCGTTGTTGCGCCTCCACAACGTGGTAGTGCGGGTGCCGCAGTTGGTGCAGCACAGCCCGAGTCGCCTCGTCGCCGTCTGAAATTCCGACATCTGTCCCATTTGTAACGCACTTGCTGATGCTGCTCGAGGTACGTTCGTTATACAAATATAGAAGAATTGAACAGATATTTTTTTCTATACTCTATATTAACATATAGAAATATATTTGATTAATGTATAAGAGAGGACGCGCGAACTGATTTTTCTCTAATACATTTACAAGAAAGTATTTGTAGATATATCTTGATATTCATTTTTTTCTCAAGTTAAATATATCTTATTTCAGCATAAAAGAATAGCTCTCTTGACGAGAGAGCGAGTATAGGCACATTGGTGAACAAACTTCGTATGATCATTTATGGATGAACTTACCAGGCGTTTCGAGGGTTTGATGAGCGGCCTGTTCATGCCATTCATCTTGTGATAAAGTCCGCATGCGTTGCAGAGATAATGGCCAGTTCCGTCCCTTCGCCAGAGCGGCGTCGATATCGCCCCGCAATTCACGCATTCGCGACCCTCGCCGAATTGAAAGTCCATCGCGGTGTCTACAATCATTTTCGACCGATTAACGATTAAAGTAATTTTATTACATTAATCGATTTCATACATTTATAATAATTTATACACTTGACCGCGATCGAATTGGTTTTTTATATCGAGCTCCGATTCCAAAATTCTCTTTGAAATTAAAAGCTTTCGTGATGGATTTAAGAGAGCATGAAAAAATTGCGAAACAAAAAAGGATTCAAAATTTTATTCCGCATTCGATGACGTTAACTCTAGCACCGATTCTTCATTCTAATTCTACTCCCTCTTCTCGTAAATCTGGCATCGTCTTTATGGCGCGTCGGACTGACGGGACGAGGCCGCTCTTGCGTCTTTTATCTGGTCTCGAGGATGTCCGCGGCGAGGGATTTAAAGTTAGACAGAGCAGAAAGTGCGACGGACGCGTTTCTCGCGCTCTTCTCTTGGCGCGAGAGAGAGCATCCGCGCGCTCGTGAACCGATTCCCCTCCCCGTTACTACCGTAAAACACTTGACCGCGGCATCGACCCGACTCACTTCAAAGGCGCCGCTATCACTTATCCATCGCACATGGCCCGCCGCGTGCTTGGCGGCGAGCGGCAGCAGCATCCGCGAGGAAAGTAGTTTCTTTCTCTCCTCCGTTCTTCAGTCATCCTCTCCTCTCCCCCTCCCCGTTTCCGTAACGCTGCTATCACAAAGTCGGTGTTAATCACAGGGCTTCGAACGCTTCTTTTCACGGACGCGTTAATTTAATTTATCTCGGATCTCGTTCGAAAATTCATACGCGCTAATAATGACATTTAACTATTAGAGCGAAATTTATTTCGTAAATAAGAGAATATATATAATTCCAGAGGATATTTTAAATTGGGTGGAGTAGATCCATCGTTCCCTTGAAAAATTCTACGCGTACCATCTCGCGCGTGTTACGTTGCGCTCGTTCGCGATATCGTCTGCGGCTTCGATAAACTAATCGTTGCGGCAAGGAAATTGCATTGCGTATCTTATCGCCGTGGCATATACGGGCAGTTCACATAACTTTTGTTTATCATCGGGACTTTACACGTGATGCACGCCAACGAAAAGCGATATACACTTTTCACGCACTCGGTGGAACTCGAGGCGTCGCGTGGAAGGTTCCCGCTACATCAACGCGGTCACTCTTTTACGTCACGTATAAATATTTTCCCATACACAGTCGATATGCATTAAGAGCTTTCGTTTATTCCATTCCAAAAATATCTACCCCGGTACCAGTCAACTTGGCTCGCGCGTCGTACTTGTTGAAAATATTATCGCCGAAGCGGCCAGGTGACATTCCTCTGTCTTGTCACGATTTTACAGTTGCAAGAATATTTACCATACGATACACCCAGGTATTTTTTTACAATGTATGTACCAACCATAAGGCGAGGCGCGCTGGAAACCGGCGCCGTCGTAGGCGCGCCACGAGGACATCATCGCGACGTTCTGCGCGTAAAAGGGCGCGGCCGCGGCGAGGGTCGAGTGTGGATGAGCCGCGTGCGGGTGCCCCGCGTGCGGATGACCCGGGCCAGCGTGCGGACCCATCGCCGCCGCGGTGCCGCTCGCGTGGCCGGCGAGCGCGTGATGCGCCGCGTATGTTTCCACCCCGTGCTGCCAGGACGCCGTCTTCTCCCTTCGGGAGAAAGAAAAATTTATCGAAATTTATCAATCATCATAGATATATACTGAGAAAATTTTTCATTTTTTATTTATTTTATTTTATTTTTATTATATTTTATTAAAAGAATAATAATTTGATGTACGTGTACCATGCAGGCGAGGGCGAAGTGGGGAAGGAGTGATATTGCGCCGCCGTGGACGGGATCGCCGGCCTCGACGAAGGGACGTAGACGGGCGCCTGGAGTTGTTGGCCGTGCTGTTGCTGCTGTTGCTGCTGAGACTGTTGGTAATCGGAACTTGCGCCGTACCCGCTACTTCCGCCCCCGTGGAACATCCTCTCCCACCGAGAGCTACCACCGCGGCATCTGCTGAAAACGGAAAATGTCCAAGGTTCTTCATTGTGTTCTTCGCCATCGGAATCGGAAGCTTTTTCAATTCGCGCGACAAATTTATATAGATTGCGCACAATTGAAATGCGAGAGACAATGTCCTTGATTTTTTAGTAAGTTTTTCAATCCATGTTGATACAACGCGAGGTAAAGCAACGCATACTTTGTGCTCTATAAAGGGTTACCGCCGGTAATCTCATTTTGCTACTGTGGAAAGATATATCGTTACACAAAAACAGGTAATATGGAAGCGGTAATAATACATTTTGCAGCAGATAATGTTAATGGTCCCTTCGGCCGATAAACACAGAGATCCCGTCGGGTGTCATGTACGACGACGAGCAAACGCAGCGTGGGCCGCCCATGAGACCAAGGATGGTCGGGAAAAAATCTCGTCATGGTCGCTCGACGGAGACTCTCTCTCTCTCTCTCTCTCTCTCTCTCTTTTTCTTATCTTACCTGAACGATTTCGTGGTCGCGAATCGGAAAAAGAACTAGAAGTCCTTCGACTTGCTCGAGTAAGCGCCTTTCAAACTTCAAAGCGTGAAGCTTATGCTATAATGTCAACATGAGAATATTGACGGCAAATATATTTAACTCTTTCTATATGCGACATGTCGAATATTTCTCTCTCTTTTTCTTAAATTAATTATAAATGTGACAAATATTTTCTTTGCTTTGATGAAAATTGCATTATTTTTAAAATTTCCTTATTCACATTTATTATCGCTAATTACATTAAATATATTGTCACAATAATTAAATTAAAGAAAATAATTAAATTAACTATCGCTGTAATTAAATTAAATTATATATATATTTTTTTTCTGATTTCTTATACTTATTGCAAATAGCATTGGGATGATTTGAGCGAATATATACGGCAAGTGCATTACTTGCGATAATTGACAATTATAGCTGAGAGGTAATTTCCATCCACGTGTTAAGCTCCATCACGCGATTTTATGACGCAATATGGATTTAACGATGATATTTTACTATTAGCGTTATATTCAAGCGCGAAGAGTCGAGTATTTATCTCGCGGTATTGTTAGAAACGAAAATGGCGATATATTGTTATCTCTCTTCGCGCACCGAGTCCATTTCGGTACGCGAGTCCTATGCCGCCCACGGATCTCATTGTCAGGACACGCATCTCCTTAAGAATACGCACATAGCCGCACCGTATCTATGCATTCCATTTGATTGCGATGTATGGAACATACTTATGTCGCGAAGTTTAAAGAAAGCGGATGCACACTGTATCACTAAGCATAATGTACGAGACAAACGCGTTCAATTTTATTTTTTTCTTTTACTTTTTTAAGTCTCTTGACATCTTGACATTTTTTATTATAGTTTTTATCGTTACTCGAGCCGTTCATGTGACTCCATATATGTCCTCCTTTGAATTGTAACATTCCTTAGAAACACTTATCAGCATGTACGATTAATTACCTCCAAAATTCTTATATACAATAATATAACATATTAATATGTTTTTTATTTAATGATTTTTTTTATTGAAGATTAAAGAATATCTCAAGTGTACTGGCGATGCTCGTTTTTTGTAAGCATATTTAAATTCGAATTTTTATCTAATAGAACTCTCTCATTTTGACGTTGTCGGCTTTATAGTATCTGGAAAGTTTATCTTGAAGGCGTTTATTTCATTCGTTTATTTGATTATATATTAAACTTAAATTAGAAAAAACGTTTTTGATGTATAAGATCGTATAAAAAAGCTTGTAAAATGAGAGAATATCGATATCTGAAAATATAAGCATTTCTAAGGGTAAAGTAACTCTGATGACAGGATAGTAGATATTAAATTTTCATACCCCTTGCCACCCACGGTCGTTCCATTGTCTGAGACACTCACGTTCTCCAAGGGAACGACTAAAATATTGCCGTAGTCGGTATTTCCACGAGTCGGCCCTCCGCAATAGGTCCAGCAAACCGAAGGGAACGGAGGACAGGTAACTTATGATCGCGATGTATGCGGCTCGTACGAGAGAAGTGCATCGAGATGCAGTTTACGCAAAAGAAGGGAGAAAGAAAGGAAACATAGAGGCGGAAAGATTTTCACAGAGGAAACATTATTCGCATACTTTCTAATCGAGAAAGAGAGAGAGAGAGAGAGAGAGAGAGAGAGAGAGATTTCAATTTATTGTTATACAATTTCTTTATTTCGCAAATTTTGTTTTATAAATTATGAAACGTTATATGTTCAAAGAAATATCAAAAATTTTAAATTAAGACATCAAAAGTCTCTCGCATTTTTAAAGACATTTTTTATTATAAGATAATATAAAATCAATTTGTTTTTTAAGTGACTAAAATCAGGACGTGAAATTAAACGCCCCTACGTTAAGAGTGGGGTTCTCGTGGTGGAAAAAGAGGGAGAGACTCGACGAGGGATTACAAGAGAGAGAGAGAGAAACAAAGAAGCGCGCAAGTCCGAAAAAGGGGGAGATCGAAACACGTTGTAGTGGGGATCGAATGATAGTCTACGCGACGGAGAAAGAGAGTCGCGGAAAGTCCGGCGAATAAAGGTATCGTGGTAGGAAGAGAGAGGCACCGAGAGACGCGCAGACGCGTCTCCACCTTCGGTTGGCTACGACCGTTGAATCAAAGATACCGATAGCGGCCATCGCGGTCACGAATGAACCCCCGTGTAGGCGGGTCCAAGGCTTTCGTGTATCGCGTGTATCGTGCGTGCGTGCATGCGTGCGCGCTCGCATACGCATGTATGTGGCGTGTGTGTGATTGCATTAATCCGCTGCATGGCAAAGTGAATAGTGATCAATCGGATCGAATTCGAGGTTGATCGAAGAGGAGAAATGTATTCTTTGTGTCAATCAATGATTTGATTAATTATATTAAACTTCTCGCTCATCTGTTTATTTCTATTCTTTTTCAGTGAAAGAAGATGGATTTTAAATTCATTCATAAATAGGAACTAGCTTTAGAATTTGGAGATCAAACTAATGTGTTTGAAAGTTAAATTAATTTACATACAAGATTTCGAAAGAGAAAAAGAATGCATATCTTCTTTCAATAAATAAATATATAATTATAATTTTAATTCAATAACGTTAGAATTTATCGTTAGAATTTACTTCATTGATCTCGTGATAATGTCTTTTACGAGGAAAGAAAAACAGATATCATTGCATATCGTTATACATGTCACATTTGATGAATAAGGGAGAATTGGAAAAGAATTCGCGCATTAAATTATGTTATTAACGATAAAACCAGTTGGAATTACCACAGTAGCCTGACGATAGTGTATGTATAATTCAAGTACTGCTATAAATTAAAACATCTGATTCCAATCACTGTGAAATTTTGTAGCATACTAATTTATCAAGGAGAATCCGAATGAAAATTCTGGTATAAATATAATTGTAACTATCAATATATAATATATGTACACAGTCCTATATAATGCGTAGGCTATTTCATACTTTTATTACTAACACTGAACATTATTTAGAATTCTTAATGTCATATAAAATTTCACACGTATTTGTAGTCTAGTACAAATCAAAGTTTCTAAAATTTACACAGAAATTTCTTTCTTCGTAAAAGACATTACCAATTTTTTATTTTATTTCTTTTATGACTCTTATAAAATCATCCATACAGAATATTTTAGGGAGCTAGAATCACTTATGGAATGGAGAAAAAATATAATTAATTTTTTATTTATTTTTAATAAATGTTGTTACAAATTTCGATAAATATAAATATTGTGCTTTCACGCTGTTAAAAATGCAGATGTATTATAAAGCAATGCAATTAATAGATCACGCACAATTTTTTATCAATGCTCGAATGCGAACGATCGACCGCAATTCCCTGCTCGCTATGCGATTCTTTTCGCGGCCAGACGATAAATATTGTTTTTTTTAATTGGTATTAATTACGTTAGATTGTTTGACGAAGCGTAATAAGTGGCAACGCAGCTTATCTCAATTTGCGATAGAAAAACACGTATATCACACATGTACTCTATAACGACAGATATAATAAAATTAGCATAACTTATCGACATCCGAGTCATTTTGATATCGTCCGATAACGTTGTGGAAAAGCGTGCAACCTTGTAAACATGAATCAAAATCAATTTATTCTCGAGATGACAAGCAAAGTAGAAATTCCGTTATCAAATGACGTGCCGATATCGAGTATCAGATTACATATGTGCTTATGTTAATCGTTAAAATAAATCCCTAATGTGTATACTAGTTGCACGTCTATGACGTTACACATTCAAAGAACATTTTACGTCTTTCTGCAAACTATGCGAAAACAATTTCACTTCGGATATAAATTTTTGTTTAAAAATTGCCGTGATTTTTTGATGCGATAGAAAAGTTAAAGCTCTCGAGAAATATATCGCACCTTCTTTGCACGTCGGGCATTTTATTATATTTATTAAAGTTCACAGAGTAATCGGCGTGAAAGGCGGCAGTCATGTGTCACGCGAACTTCAATGGGAGCTAATTCATTATCCACGCATTGCGTGATCCTTCTGCGAGCGTTTTGCTTGCGTTCCAATAACGTTACACTTAGCTATCGTTAAAAAATATATCAGGTTCGATCGGGATAATAATGCGATAATTGTATGACGTAAATTCTCAATGTTCGTTAACAATTGTTTAATTCGGAGTTTAATCCACAAAATGTTTTTTAGAGGAAAAGATCGATAAACGATAAAAATTAGATCGATAAAAATTATTTAAGAGATTCTGTATCCCTATTTACTGTCTTATTACAGTAATAAAAAAACAGAACGATTATCTCTGGTTCTAGTTGTTTAATGGATACACATTTGTTTAAAGGATACATTTAAATCTCTCGCAGGTACGATTACGTGTATACACGCGACGATGCGTGTTTATTATGCACGGCGGATGATGCGGTTTATAATTATATCGGTCGCGTAGATACTCTTTCTCTCTCGCCATCCTCTTTAATTATTATTAAAGCGCGATTATGATTTATCGTTACGAGACTTAATTAGAGCTCAATAAGAGTAATAATCCTGTTCGCGCGACTTACTTAAAGTTACTTCAGTATTTAAGTAAAGTTACATAGTAAGTACTTAACTAAAGTTATTTACTTAAGTTCCATGCGCGCACGTTCGCCATCGCTCTAATTTTAAATGCTTCTTATGTCGATAAAAAGCTGACCTTGTGCACTCTCTTAACGTAAATTATTTAACGTCAATTATATATATTTTATACATAAGCGATTCGTTGCGCCGACGTTTATATGCCAATCGTCATCAATTGTCATGTGTATCGGCTCACCTGTAGTTTCCCGAAATAAGCTATTTGGAATCCTAATGTCACTGGATATTCATAGTCGCGAATAAATAATTTATCGTAAGTCAGTATACATTAATTGTACAATAAATCACTGAATATCTCGGATGATGTTAAGGCGTTACCAATAAAAAAACAGATTTAATCACGTACATAAACGAGTTTATTAAGTGCACTTAATAATATGTATATATATATATATATATATATATATATATATATATATATTTTTTTTTTTTTTTTTTCCGACAATAATTAATGCGATGGATGTATTTGACATTGAGATATTAACGACGCATACATATATTTTTCGATCCGATGTGTTATTCAGATATGTCGCCGTCATTCTTCTTTTCGTGAAATACCAAAGAATTATTTTTCGGCGAGAAAAATAATTATTCTCGCACATATTTGTACAATAGATGTTTGATATTTCCCACGTGATCGATATACCATCTTATTACGATGCGAACAAATTCGTCCGTGCAATTAAACGCGATTATTTTATAAAATCTCCGGAGCGCAATCGACATATTCTACAGAAGCTTTCTCTCTCTCTCTCTTTAATGGAGCGGAAAATTATCGAATCTTCTAATGGGGACCGGTTGAAAAAATAATCGCGTTTCGATGTTAGGCGGCGACGGCGCCAGATCAACGCGGCGCCGTACTTTTCATGGCCCTCGACGGATCACACGGAATTTAGATGAGAGCTTGGACGGAGAGCTGCGACGAGAGTTAGAAGGGTCCGACGCCACCAGGTATATATCGGTAATGGACGCCGATTAAAGGAACCAAATAGAGGATGGAAGAGACTCAATATGCGTAGTTGTCTACAGGTGCGTAAAAGACAGCTGCTGTTACATGTCGTTAAACATTGCGTGCTGCTTTAATATTCGTAAATGCGTATGTATCTATAAAGGAAACTAACAGAGAAAGTTTATTTTCTAAATTTTGATAAAATCAATATATTTATTTTATTCAAGAATGATAATTCAATATCCCGTTACACTCATATAAAAATTCCGATAGATTCCTATGTAAATTAAAATTAAATACAGTATATATATTATACATTATATAATTGTATACAATTATAATATTTAATAATTAAATTTATGTACATTTTAATTATTATTAATTATTTTGAATATTATATTATATAATTATATTTATTATAAGAGTATATATATATTATGACACGTGAAAGTAACATGAATGAAAAACATGTGCTACACAAGTGAGTTGTACATAGCGTGTGTCAACATTCGAATTTGCGTAGTCTCAAGGTTATCCTATAATAGAATAAAGCGAAGCTTTTTGCGTTTACAGATGTACGCATATACATTGTCGGCGTCGCGAGTGGTCGCGCGATCACGAGGAGCCTTAATCCGACGACATTCGTGGAAGGAACGAGCATCCGACGATTACGACGAAGTACTTTGGTACATCGCGAGGGAATGTTCTCTCGTCTCGAAGAGGACCGGCTGGTGCCGAGGCGCCACGGCGCCGACCCGCGTAGAAGGGTTTCCTTGTAGGCCCTACGCACACACTCTCGCACGCGCGCACACACACAGTCACGCGTATCACGCGCACGTTGCGATCGTTTCTTCCTTTTTTCTTCTCTCACAATTCAGCGAGGTGACAGAGAGAGTGGCCCAGGGCTCTCTCTCGTCTCGCTTATCTTACCTTCGTGATATCGTCGAATTATTTGTTACGTTGTGTTACACACGTGAACGAATATCGCGTTAACAATGGCACACGCAACTCAATCTATTCTCAATCTATTCGTTTTTTGGGGAGTCCAACTTCTTTTCTCTAGCTCTCTCCCAATAAGTTAGAAAATGATTGCTCGAAGATTTTATCTGTACTCTTACAACAATTATGCATAATATATATAAACTGTTTTTATGCTGATTAGCGGGAGTCATTAATATCGACAGTTCTTTCTATCTCGTTGGCAAATTGCGATTAAAATAAAAGTATTTAGAGCACCGCCTTTGTTTGTCAACAATATCTGATATTTACAATATTCGCGCGAATCTTATTCTCGCACAGGTATACGTGACATATAAAGATGCGGGAATCGCGTGACCCGATCCCGTAAATTTGACGCGCAATAAATAAATGGGGTCTCCCTCTGAAAAGAGACTCCAGTCACGATCTATCGATCGCCGAACCGGCAAATCCTGCCTTAGATGTCATGAGAAAATGAGCGCCGGAAGTTCATGCTTGAGAGCTTATTTTAAAATTTTCGCGCAAGTATCGGCGAAAGAAAATATGAAATACAAGAAAAGGCGTTTTACTTCTTTCCGCGCGATGTATATGCAAATCTGTGTGTTATGCGAGAACATTTATGGAAATGCAGTGTGGGAAAAAAAAGGTTACTCACCGCGATGCGGTCGATCCGGCAGATTTTTCTATGACTGGCGCATACCCCCGAAGACGAAGAGCGATCTTTCGATTACACGTGTGCGAGTCTCTTCGATTCAAAAACCGCAGTCAAGGTGATCTTGTCGCGTGTTTTCCGTGCGCTTCTCTTTGCCTCTTTCTCTTAGCCTTTCGAGAGAAAGAAGGAAGAGAAGGTCGGGCGACCAGATTAAGCCAATAAACTAATTTGACAGGCGATTCATTCTGTGGCCAAAAACGACTATTCCCCGCAAATACACACGATGTTACTCGGAAAATAAATCAGCCATAAGTTATTACAGCTGATTGAAATTAACGCATTAATCTTCTAGAGTCGTTGAAAAGAGAATTTATATTTAGTATATTTAAAATAAAATTAACTTGAAAAAAATATAAAATGTATATAAAAAGACATAAAATTTTTTTTTCGTCTTGCAAAGGAGTAGATTTCACCGAGAAACAATATTAGAAAATTGTAGAAAATTACATTCTAAGTAACCGAGAATAAATAAACTTTTGTACAAGATAAGAAAGTATTAAAAAATGTCGACAATACGGAAATTACGAGAAAAAAAGATATCGATCTTATCCTCTCCCTTTCTCTGTCTCTCTCTCTCTAGTCAATTAACACGATTCTTGAGAAATTATGTGCGAGACGGTGAGAGGTATCATCCGAGATTGCCCCGGGGTGTTTCGGATCTGCCTTTCGGTAACCCGAGACCGTAGATGCAAACACTAGATAAGATCTCTCGAGGGTTTGTGGTCCAGTTTCGGCACGCGCCTTCTTCCTCTCGAGATCGTGTGGGAAACCCGCGATGACGCAGGTGCTTATGAAGGTGCTAGCAAACGTTTTTCGTGCGTCATTATTCAAGTATCGATCATTGTAGTACATAATTTTATTTTTTTCGGGTATTAAATCATTCGCGATCGAAGCTTGTGAAATTCATTTATTTATTGTAAAATGATTTAAAAAATTCCTCACGTATCCGATGCAATCGAATGTTTCTACGATGAATAGATATTCTATAAACGCACCTGTCATCAATGAATAAATTGTTCGATATAACGCGCAACGTACAAAGTTGATTATTAAATAAGTTAATAATAAAATATTAATAAAATAAATATCGTAATAAATGAATATCGTAATTTATAATTATTTCAATTCTTCACCAAATAAATGTATAAATCACGCGAAATATCTGTTAACTTTCATCTGTTAACCTTCATCTATATTTAATAATCATTAACAATCATAAAAAAAGATCTTTTTTATGTATATGTATACATATAACGTCACACATAGTTTTGACGATAATTATATTTTGAAATATACGGTTCAATAAACGCGCGCCGAAATTTGCGTCATGTGACCTTGTGACGTATATGTTTATATACGCGGTCGACTTCAGTTACCTCAGTCGCCATTTGCGAGTCGCAAATCATCCGGAAGTGTTAGCGTTACGAAACTCGTATCAACATATTATTCAATCGTGCGAAGTATTAAAAATATGCTCCCTCGTTCTCTGCAATTGTTACAATTAACATTTATCGATTCGCGCGATTAATGACTGGTAAGCCTAATCTTAACTCAAGTTAACCGTCTCGTTTGAAATAGATCTCTCTCTCTCTCTCTCTCTCTCTCTCTCTCTCTCTCTCTCTCTCTCTCTCTCTCTCTCTCTCTCTCTCTCTCTCTCTCTCTCTCTCTCTCTCTCTCTCTTTCTCGCGCGCGCGCATCGCGCTTTAAAATTATTATTCAGATATAATTTGCTCTTCATTTTCGCATCGTATATCGGATGTACATTAAGGATATACGCGTGCCTGCGTCTTTGAAGATCGATGTGCACTTATAGTCGAATGTCAATATATATTCGATTTAAATGCTCCGACGAGCTGTTTTCTCCCGCAGTTAATATAATTCTCGTGAAATAAATTTATCAGCATTTACGCTACAACGAACATGGACATGCAGTCATGTAAGAGGAGAGAGGGGAGCGGGAGAGAGAAGCAGGAGGGGGGAGGACGAGAGGAGAAAAGTAATATGGCGGAAAGGACGCGGAAAAAACGGGCTTCTCTCGCGCAACAAGATTTTCTACCGCTTCGAAACCTCCCTGTAATGCGGGAAATATGTCTTCGTGCAAGTGTGCGTGCGGATTAATCGCGGATTAAGTGTTTCAAGTGTAAGTGCGTCTCTTCAAGTATCGAGGAAACGATGACTCCGGGACTCGATGTGGAAACTTGAACTTGCCGGAATGCGACAGAGAGGGAGTAAGTCTATGAAAAGAAAATTATCCCTATCATATAGTATAATATGTATAGAAGAAAAGATGAAAGATGTTTTTTTATTACTGTTTATGCGCTGCAAATTTAATTCAACTTTCAATTCATTGACAATCTAAATTAATCTGATCTGCTAACCTTCGCGTTATATCCGCGCAAATATAAATTTCTAAAGTGGGTCTTTCAGAGCCCCGCGACTTATCTGCTCCCTTCGAACAATTAAGGTGTCGTTCGAACCGGTCGTGAACACTTTGAATCCTTGGCTCTCTGATTTACCGTCGCATATATTTCGCTGAAAATATACTCCGGTAATAACGATCTCTCTTTATCGCCATTTTTATTGTCGGCCGCGCGGAGACACCGGTCGAATCTAGCAATAAATCTGAAATATACGCGCGAACGAAGGCGTGCTGTGTACACATACGCTAAATATGGGTGTTCTCCGGGAAAATAGATACCTATAGTCGCATTCGGTACGACCATAAGCGCTTAAGCCATTAACTCAAGTATCGTAAAAAAAAAAACTGATATCGCTACGTCTACGTCTTATCGCATGCGTTTTTCTCTTCGCCAAACTTATCCGACAATTTTTTGCGTTCGTTTCGCAAAAATGTGTAAAAGAAACAATAGACTGTTTAGTAATATTTGTGTCATTAGAAATTGCAGCGGAAAAACATGGAATTATTCGGATTACGAACGATTAAAAATATAAGTGATTATCTACTTTGATTTACTGAATTTAATATAATGTTATTAAATTAATTATTTCTAAGCATTCTTTTCACATTTTTAATATTGCAATTTAACACGATGACATATGTATAATAGTAGATAATATATTGATAAGAGGATTTATCCAACTTTACGTACAAGTCGTACAGTGATACAACGATCTCAGCTGATTCTGCCGTCGCGGAAAAGATTAACAAAATCTACCCTCTCTAAAGAAAAATGTCTTACCTCCCGTGCGTTAACGATGTCAGAGAGCAATAAAATTGAAATCGCTTTCGGCGTTTCGGACGACGACAAGTCGGAGGGTAGGTCGTAGATACTGAGAATGGCGCCAGGACCGAGGTCGGGCTCTTCGTTAAGTAATTTGTCGGTCTCGACATTACACGGGAAAAAATGGAGAGACCATCTCTACCTAAGGAGTTCCCGAAAAGAGCGGCGATATAAAAAAAAAAGAGACGCCACATTTGAGTCATCCGTCTGTACAAGTTTCAAGTTTCATGCATGCAACGCTATGACAATATCGTTTCATTAACATTCTCTTTGGTGAATCAGCGAGAATCTCGGAAGATCGTCAGCGTAGAGGAAATATCGAACATTGTCGCTTACTGTTTTTATACTTATAAGCGCGAACGAATATATATAAAAATGACAAATCTCACAATTGCGTGGTCTCAGTCAGAGGAAAATAAATTATCCGAGCATTTATAATATTTTTCTTGAAATTCCATTAATGTTCGAATCTAATTTTCATATCGTCCAGAGTTCATACGTCATAGGTAACATTAAACGCTTCATTTTCTCGGGACGCGAACAAAGGATACTCGCGCGATAGTCCGGATCGAAAAACTAAATGCCGCTGATAATTCCGGTGGGAAAATAGCGTAGAAGTAGAGCGCTCTAATTTATACGTCCGCAGAGAGGGAACTGCAGGTATTCGCGATGTCTACTCGACATCCGGCGCGCGTTATTGCCCAATTATTATTCGATGATACGACGATCCGAGGATACTATATTTTTTTTCGCAGGACGAACCAACCGCTTGGTAAAATTTCGCGGTGACTGTAAAGCGATCGAAGCGAGCGTAAAGGCTAGAGCGAAGCTTAGTAAGCAAACTCGAGTATACGAGCGTATCTTCTCTCTCGGATCTTCTCTCCTTCTCTTCGGTGTCTTCTCTTTTACTTGCTCGCTCGTCGTTAGTTACGCGCGCCGACTTTTCGCGCGTCCGGACTAAACGAGATCTCAATCGCGCATACGGAATAACGACGCGGGTTCGTAAGCACGGCAACCGGACGAGCAACATGCGTGGACGTATGTATACATGTGCGTGCGTGCGTGCATGCGTGCACGCGTGCGTACGTCCTCTCGCCCGCGATGGAAATCAAGTACTTGGTATGTCTCTCCTCCCATTTATATTCGATCTAGGTATATTCAGACTCTGTCGTTTCTTTCTCTCGCTCTCTGTCCCTCCCTTTTCTTTTTCACGGTAGCGCGTTTTCGCGATCCCGAATGGCCTTGGGATAGGGAACGCATTTGATATTCCGTAGATGCGTTTTTACAAAAGCGTTTATACGCGAGAAACGTTGTAGGTATTGTATATTATGTTGGCGTTTTATATAGAAATTATTTTTATTCGATTTTTATTCAAAATTTTTCACAATTCTTTAGATAAAATATCGATATAAAGAGCATTTTATTTCACTAAAGATTTATCGAGAGCAAGTTTTTGTAATTGGTCCGAGATATATACCGGAAAATCGTATAAGAAACCGATCTCGGACGATGGGTAAGAAACCGGAGCATCGGATTTTTGACGAGTTCATGATTGACGTAACTTTCTTACAGCGATAAAAGGAGCAGCTTCGGATACCCGGTTTGCCTACTTTACGCGAAAACGTACGACCGATTCGGCTCGTGAACATTCTCTCCGAGCGGGTGGCGAGAAAAAGGAAAGAGAAAAAAAGAAAAGAGGAAATCGAGAGAGCGAGGACTTGGATATCGTGCCGGATTCTCGCAATCGCAATCGCGGTCGCGTCTCGATCGAGCTTTAATAGAATCATCGAGACGAAAGTCCCGATATTTTGCTGCCTGAAAGGATGCGCGTTGCATCTTCGAGGAATAGAACGCGACTAAATAGTCGTTAAGTTGCCCGCAATTTTCCTTTTTTTCCCTCTCTTTCTCTGTCTTTTCGTAAATTTATTTATGCTAATTTAGCGACAAATTATTCCGAACGGCGAGTAATTATTCGCGGTGAGAAACGCGAAATATGTCACGTATTTAAACAAGTATTTAAAAATTTGACGTGTTATAAGAGATCTGTCGAAGAAATTACG